TGCGCTCTGGAAGCTTGAAGCCAGTGGAGACCAAAGCTTTGAGGTAGGCCTCATACTTATCTCTTCCAAACGAAGCCACTTCTCCTGTAGAAGCCATCTCAACACCCAAGACTGGATCAGCACCAGAAAGTCGCGAGAAACTGAACTGGGGGACCTTGACACCGACCGTTCCTGGTACCAGTGTTGTAGGTGCGTATGCCTCAAATGGGAGATCCATGATTGCCTTGGTGGCCAGCTCAATAAGATCTACTCCCATAACCTTGGATACGAATGGGAACGAGCGAGAGGCTCTGACATTGCACTCAATCACCTTGATGTCGTTATCCTTGGCGATAAATTGGATATTGTATGGACCTGTAATGTTCAAAGCCATACCAATCTTGCGAGTTGCCTCCTCGATACGCTTGATAGTTGTATCCTCCAAGTCTTGAGGTGGGAGAATAAGAGTGGCGTCTCCAGAGTGGACACCAGCGTTCTCGACGTGCTCAGAGATGAAATGGCCGATCATCACACCGTCCTTGGCAACTGCGTCCATCTCGATTTCTTTGGCGTTCTCAATGTACTTGGTAATGACGACTGGGTGCTCGCGAGAAACCTCGGAAGCTTGCTTGAGGTATGCCTCAAGATCCGGCTCAGAGTAGACCGTGTTCATTGCTGCTCCAGAGAGGACATATGAAGGGCGAACCAGCACTGGGTATGAAACCTTGTTACAGAACTCTTTTGCCTCCTCAAAGCTTGTCAACTCCTTCCATGTAGGCTGATCAACTTCGATTCTGTCCAACATGCGGGAGAACTTGTATCTGTTCTCGGCATTGTCAATCATCTCAGGAGATGTTCCCAATACCTTGACGTTGAGGCGGTGTAATGGTAAGGCAATGTTTTGTGGCGTTTGGCCGCCCATGGCCATGAGAATGCCAATCGATGATTCCAGCTCGTAGATGTCGATAATCGTCTCCAAGTTGATATTCTCAAAGTAAAGTCTATCGGCTTCATCGTAATCAGTCGAAACGGTCTCCGGGTTCATCTTTTCGTCAAGTTAGCAACTGTAATAGGAATATAGTATCATAGTGACTGGGATGAGAAAAATTCGAGGTGGATCACGTGAACCATTCCCGTGATTCAGGTGATTTGGATCAAGACCCAAAGGGAAGGCGCCTCACACCGTAGAAAACAATGAAAATTTCTTGAACTTACGTTTACCATGACAGTTTTGTGCCCGCTCTCACGAAGAGTGCGAATAGCTCTGACGGAGCACCAGTCGAACTCCACAGATGAACCAATTCTGTACACTCCGGATCCAAGTACCATGACACCATTGTCGTTGAATTCCAAGTCGTGCTCGGAGCCATTGTATGTCATGTAGAGATAGTTGGTGAAAGCAGGGAACTCAGCTGCTACCGTATCGATTTGCTTGACAAAAGGAGTGACGCCAGCCTCGGTTCTGAGCCTTCTAACGGCCAACTCAGTCGAGCTCCAGAATTTCGCCAATTGGCGATCACAGAAACCAAGCTGCTTTGCTTGTCGCAGGAGGTCAATCGAGATGCTGCTTGTGTCAAATGTGGACATGTACTTGGCAAAGTCGTTGAGGCCCTTGAGCTTGCTGAGGAACCACTTGTCAATCTTGGTCATGTTGTGGATCTTGTCAACCGAGTAGCCCTCGTGCATTGCATTTGCAATGGCGAAAAGACGCTGGTCGGATGGGGTCTGGAGCTCATCATCGATGGACATCAAGGCCGGAGTCTCGCTGAATCCGAGGTTGTGGAAATCGATGGATCTGATAGCCTTCTGGATGGCTTCCTCAAACGTCCTGCCAATGCTCATGACCTCGCCAACACTCTTCATGGAGGAGCCAAGTTCCGTGGAGACTCGAGTGAACTTCTTCAAGTCCCATCTTGGCATCTTGACGACGACGTAATCCAGAGATGGCTCGAAGCAGGCAGAGGTTTCCTTGGTGACGGAGTTCTTGATCTCATTCAGTGGGATACCGAGACCAAGTTTGGCAGCGATAAAGGCCAATGGGTATCCAGTAGCCTTGGAAGCCAAAGCGGAGGAACGGGAGAGTCTCGCGTTGACCTCGATAATGCAGTATTCTTGCGAATGTGGGTTAAGCGCGTATTGGATGTTACATTCTCCGACGACACCAAGATGGCGAATAACGTTGACAGCAGTGGTGCGGAGCATGTTGTAGTCTTCGTCGGACAGAGTCTGTGACGGAGCAACGACAATTGAGTCACCGGTATGGATACCGAGAGGGTCGAAGTTCTCCATGTTACAGACAGTGATGCAGTTGTCCCTGGCATCTCTGACGACCTCGTATTCGATCTCCTTCCAGCCCTTCATACTGCGCTCCACCAAGACTTGAGGTGAGGCAGCAAACGCCTTTTGGCAAAGCTCCAGTAGCTCGGCCTCGTTGTCGGCGAATCCGGAGCCTAAGCCACCAAGGGCATAAGCTGCGCGAACAATGACGGGGAAACCGATGTCTTTGACAACGTGCATGGCCTCCTCGACAGTGCTTGCGGAGGCAGACTTGGCGCACTTCTCGCCAATGGATTCCATGCTTCTGGCGAAGAGCTCACGATCTTCAGTTGTGATGATGGTGTCAATCGGGGTTCCGAGAACCTTAACGCCGAGTCCCTCAAATTCATCTTTCAATTGAATTCCGACCTGCAGCGCAGTCTGACCACCGAAGGTGACATAGATGGCATCAGGGCGCTCGTAGAGAATCACTTTGCGGACAAAGTTGGCAGTGACTGGGAGGAAATAAACCTTGTCGGCAAGACCCTTTGATGTCTGAATGGTGGCAATATTTGGGTTGATCAGGACGGTGTAAATGCCTTCCTCCTTCAGAGCCTTGATGGCCTGACTTCCAGAGTAATCAAACTCGCCGGCCTGGCCAATGCTCAGACCACCACTTCCAAGAACCAAAACCTTCTTGACATCGACTCTGGGGTTCAGTTTTGCCGTCTCGGCAGCCTCGCCTCCAGGGAATTGCACGGGCAGGTTCAATTGGGTGGCATCACCCAGAGTCTTGACGATAGTGTTGATGAAGACATCAAACAAGAACTCGGTATCCCTTGGGCCGGGTGTGCTTTCAGGATGGAATTGGACACTGAAGTGTGGCTTGCTGACGTGGCGGATACCCTCGTTTGAGCCGTCGTTGGCGTTGACGAAAAGCTCCTCCCATTCTGCGGGCAATGAAGCGGTATCCACAGCATAACCATGGTTCTGGGAAGTAATGTGACATTTTCCAGTCAACATGTTCGTGCATGGAATATTGTGGCCGCGGTTACCAAACTTCATCTTCAGGGTGCTTGCGCCAGTTGCTCTCGCGAGAAGCTGGTGACCAAGGCAGATACCGAAGACTGGGGTGCGGTTCTCTTCAACGGCGGCTTTGATATGCTTGACAGTTTTGGTCATCATAGCTGGATCACCTGGACCGTTGGAAATGAAGAGTCCGTCGTAATCCTTGCCGGCAAGGGCGGGGAAGTCGTAGTCCCATGGGCATACAAGGACCTCAACGCCACGCCTGACGAGACACCTCAGTTGGTTGTACTTGAGTCCGACATCTAAGCACAGTACTCGGATTGGGCGTCCAGAAGGGTGGAGGAGAGCGTCGGAAGGCTTGGGAGAGTATAATTTCGGGGCCTTGATCGAGACTTTGTCTACAGTCAGAAATGTTCGAGGGGGACATTTGAGTAGAGCTCACCATCTGCAACCAGATTTGTAGCGTTCGGGTTAGACCACTCCACAGCCTCAAAACCCGAGCGCCAGTCCTCCGACAGTCGGGTAGCGTTGCCATTAGTGAGGCCTTGCTTCTGCAGGAGCATCCGCCCCAGCATACTACCTTCGTCCCGGATTCTCTTGGTGAGGGCTCTGGTGTCAACGCCATACATGGCGGGAACCCCCTGTTCCTTCAGCCATGCTCCAAGGGAGGATGTGGCAAGGTAGTGGCTGTAGTCCTCGCCTGCATAGGAGGCAACGACCAAGCCAGCAATGTGAATCTCTGAGGATTCGAAGTGGACGGGAACGTCCTTGAGGAGTTCGTCCATTGTTTCCCGGGAGGGCACACCATAGTTTCCTACAAGAGGGAATGTAATGACGAGGATTTGACCCCGGTAAGACGGGTCAGTCACAGATTCTGGGTATCCGACCATTCCTGTCTGGAAGACCAATTCTCCGGCGATGCTCTTGGGGGCACCGAAGCTGTACCCTTGGTACACAACGCCATCTTGGAGTTCGAGTGCGACGAGGCTCTCGTCGGTGCTGCCCCGCAGCCGAGCAGCGACCGGGACGTATGTTATTTCGGCCATGGTTGCGAGTGTTCCGATGTGTACGACGTATAGCGGGGTATTCGTAAATCTCTGAGCTCGTCGAAGATGGGCGGCAAAAGCCCTAGAGCCGCCTTAGAAGTTCAATCTAAGTATCTCACAGTCAATCAAGACGGAGAACAAGGCCGCAGATTAGACACAATTGAACATCAAGTAGAGGGGAAAAGACTCTGCGTGAGATTGGTGAGCATAAATCTCACAGTCAGAAAGTCGAAGCTGAAGTTCTGCCAAAAAAAATATGTAGGAACCCATGTCATTATTCGTCAAGCGCTAAAAAAAGCTTAAGGCCAATTCGGCGTTTTCATTGGCTAATACGAGTACCTGATGAGAAAATCTGCACAAAAGCGCTAGCACATTATTAGTCAGCACGCAATGTATTTGTCTCCGAACTCGCTTCAGATAAGACTCTCGGCGGATTGTGGCAGACGATATGAATATCCTCAAATCTCAGTTCGACAGTGATGGCCAGGTATAATTTTGTATCTATACTCTAATTTGTGCTTGCAGTTATGGTGAATGCGGTAGAGTGGGCAAGCAGTTAAATCACGATTTGGAACTATTTTCCCAAAATTAATTTGAATAACTTATTTTATTTAATGGGATTGGTTGTAAATAACTTTTTCACCGCTGCCAACATACTCGAGGAACTTCACGACTCAGCCAGTTCATCATCTGGTATTTTCATGAGTATAGGCTAAGCTATAAGATTATCTAGAATTCAGATTGAGCTATGGAAGAATCTGGAATCTCAATGACTTCAAGTAGAGCGATGGTGCTTCGTAGAAATGGCCTCTGTGCCACAGCAAATTATGTTCAGGTCTCGACATCCCGTATGGTCTGTACGAACCCCATCATTAAACTGAACTGATCGAGCCGCTTCGGCTGTTATCCATTCCAATATCCTCCCTCATCGCCGACTCCATGTCTAACGTTGGGATCCCCACATGGTTTTCCAGTGATTCCTGTCCAGCGTCCTCCATGTGGCAATCCTCCACATCAAGCCCCTTCTCTTTACAATCGCATCTGTACGTTTGTCTGAACTGGGTAAGGGTTCCTCCTTTCAGAATTTCCAATGCTTGCTGGGCGACGGCGATCTTTGCATATCTGGCGCTGTCCCTCTCCACGCCAACCAGTATCTGGCTATGGATCATCACAGTGGCGAGGATCTTGGGGGGGGTCCCGCTGGCATCATCTGGCATCGATGATGCGGTAATTATATTCTTCGCACATCCCATGTTCTGTTGAAGGAACTTGTGAAGAAAGGTTACTGGATGCTTGTTGGCAAACGTGTCATATAGAGTAATATCCTCAAAGTACCACTTCATATGAAGGTCAAAGAAGCGCTCCACCTCTCCGTAGTTGAAGGACGAGTCGACGAAAATTGCTCCAATATATGCTTCAATGATATCTGGTAAGCATTTTGGAGGGAGCTTGGTATGGAGCCAATAATCGCGGGCGCACTCAGAAGCTAGCTTTCCATGGCGGATGGCGTCTTGCTCCGCCTGCTCACGGGCTTCAGTTATTTCACACACGTACTCTGTGATACTGCCTTGGATAATGGGGTTGAACTGCAGCAACTGCGTATGGAATCCAAGTGCTACGCAAACAGCGCCAAGGAACTGATTAGATACCATCGCCATTTTGTGTTCTGTCAACCATTGTGGGTCTTTGGTCGGAAATCGATGAAAGAGGAAGTTGACACAAGCCATATCAAGCAATGAATCTCCCAGAAATTCAAGTCTCTGATAGTTAGGAACCCGTTCGTATGCAAATGGATATGATGGGTGGGTAAACGCCGAGCGGAGGAGTCGAGGATAGTGAAAGTGGTAATTGTGAGTAATTTCGATTTGCTCAGCAACGTTTCGCTGAGACGCCGTTGAAGCTGCAATCTGATACTTTGGCTTCGTGTAACCCTTGAAGTAATCCTCCCATTTTTCAATGGCATGATCAGTGCTGTAGACAAGTTCTGTGACAGCTCGCACTGCATGGTCCATTGCGTGACCATTAGATGGTGTGAGTAGTGCGGCACCAATTAATGCTTCAGACACATCAGCTATTGTTTTGTCGCCCAACTTGTGCTTCTTGGGAGCTTGAGCAGCTTTGCCCTTCTTGAGAACAAGGCCTTCTGGATACCACGCCCGTCTACAAATTCGTTAGTGAGAAATAGATATACCGATGTCCGAGCTACATACCGATTAAACGCCTGGGAACGAATGAACTCATATAATTTCAGCTGCAAGGCTACGTCCATAAGGTTCTTGTTGCAGATCATTAACATACGCTTGACATGGAAGTCAAACTCATTGCTGTCTGGGTGGAGTGTGTAGAGTGAGATTGACGTCGCCATTTTCAAAAAGCAGTCTCCAAGGAACTCAAGCCGCTCATAATTATTTCCCATGCCTCTCTGAAACTCGACCTGTTCTTCGCCGTGCTCGTCAGTGTTTCGAGTATCTTTCGTCATGCATTCTAGTGCCAAATCCGCTGAAATAGGGAGATGTAGCATGGAGCATGCCTCAACAGCGACGAGATAGGATTCAATGCGGTGAATAATAGCAGGAAATGTGTACGCCATAGCGACAATTCTAGTCGGGAGCTGCAACAATTAGTGTGTGTTATTCCACAAACCTGGAGTACTTACTGCTGATATTGTAAGAGGCTCTGGGACCACATAGCATTTCGTAGGACCTGAATTAGCTGGATCGTCGTGATCATCCAAGAAATTTCGACGAAAAGGAATAACGTCGCCTTCAATAACTGGCTGGGTTTCACTGAACGTCCTCTTACTTCTTGCCACCTTAAACAAGCTGCAGGAATACTCAAGGATGTTCGAGTTATTCTTTCTCGCCAAACGAGTAGCTGTGTTTGGCGGCACGGGGTCCAGTGGCTTATACTCGTGCGTTACTTTCCTCGTCCATATTTTCCGTGACCCGTCGAAAGGGTCCAGAATGTACTTGTCCTCAAAAAAAGACTCTGGCGTTGATTCGTCCCATGTAAGCCACTGATTATCACTGACTGTTTTCAGAATGTCCCACGAAATCAAGTCCGCCGGTAACCTCGTTTGGCTTTCTGCATCTGTGTCGGCGATTGGGACTATAAAATAGGGCATTTTAGCAGAGTCGGATTCGTACTCCTTGCTAAAAATATCTTTGAATATCCTTAGGGTGAAAGTATTAATTAATTCCAGTGTTTCAGAGCTGACTGGCAGACTGCCCACAGCTGTTGACACAGCTGCAGTGTGCTTTCCGCTACCAAAATACAACTGAAACTGTGGAAATGATGGCAATGGCCCACGAGTGAGAAATCCAAGTGGCTGTGAAGGACGATCAAGCTGGCCAGGGTCTTTTAAAGATATAATTGTCAAGAATAGTTCCGATGGTGTTTCACCAGTGGCCCACATAGAAGGCTTCGTACGCATGTCGTAGTCCGTATTGGCTTTGGAGGTTATTGCCAGCTGGGCATTCCGCATCGCTGGGCCTCGATCTTTGAAAGTCGATAACAGATATTCGTCGAGGTGCTTTCCTTTTCTGAGGTTGAGGCAAGCCTCAAATGCCGCAGAGCATTTCGCAACCTGCTTTGTGTTTGCAGGGCGCCCAATCGCACCATGGACCGGCGAGTTCTCTGGAAGTATAACTTCACAAACATATTTCACGCCCATAGCCGTCATCATGTATTCGGGGTGTGGCGTGCTTTCGCTGCTGTGTGGAAGAGACGCCACGAAATTTGCCAGCACACTTAGGCTCATCCTATATGTCAATTTTGCACCCGTCGAAGGTTCTGTATATGTTCGCATTATGTTTCTCTCCTTGGCGAGGAAGTAATCCATATTGTAGTTGTTTCCAGAGAGCAAGCGATCTTCAGGTAACGCCTGACAAAATTCCTTAAGAATGTTTTCATTTCGGCGGACCTCTCTAACAAGAGCATCCTCCACCTTACTACCTCTCTCGATGAAATGAAAATAGACAGAGTTATCTTGTCTCGCCCTACCCCGTGACTGTATATACTGGATGACCGTCGAGTAAAGATCGAATCGAATGACGAGATTGCAGTCTGGAATATCCAGGCCTTCCTCTGCAACAGAAGTTGCAAAGAGGCAATTTATCTCGCCTTGCCTGAACCTCCTTAAGGTGATTACTTGGTTTCGGAAGGATGCTTCGAGGTCTGCCCCATTTCTATTTCGAGTACCGGTCTGTATCAGGCAATTAGCATGGCTGAGGGGCATAGTTGAGAAGTTGAAATAAAATGCAGGGATAATTAGCTGTGCGGATATCTTACCAATGACCCAACCCGGAGGTGTGGAGTGCCTATTTGGGGCCTTGCGAACAAATCTGCCAACAGTTTGGCCGTATACCTCTGCTTGACGAAAACGATACACTTATCGAATGTAGTTCGTTCAAATCGTTCACGAAGTTTGCTGGCGAGCGCTAGTACTTTGGACGAAAGTTGGCTGCGGGATAGCTGTGGAGATGCGAAAACATGCGCCATAATAATCTGTTGTGCACTCTGAAGCTTTTCTTTTCTATTTTCGAGATTGCTCAGAGGTATTGGGTCGATTTGGGCTTGTTTGTGAAAGTTGCTTTCAATCTTTGCCTCCAACCTCTTAACATCTTCCCCAGTGAAGCTAATTAACAACACTCGGTCAGCGATCCAGCTACCCAGGTCAGAACTGGCCGTTACTGCGTATTCCAATGGCTTCGAGCACTCCTTAATCCCACCGACCAATTGATTGACCTTTTTGAACAATTGGCTCTCAGTTGAGGGAGGGAGAGCATTGTAATACGCGACCTCTTCCTTTGTTTTCTTGTTGGTATACTGTAACAAGCTTGCATCAGACGCAGTAGCTATCTGGCTGTGCAATAGTGCCTCGAGCTCTGCTGCCCCCCTTTTTATATTCGTTCTCGCATCAACCGGGGAAGCCGTCATTCCAAAAATTCTAGGAACTAGTGACTGATCAGGCTCGGAGGCATAGAAGTCTTTGATGATCCTGGCATAGGCGTGATTTCGTTTTGCATGGTGGGCTTCATCGAATATGAGCAGGTTGATTTGCTTCATCGTGATAAAGGAGTGGTGCAAGCATTGAAATAGGACTTCGGCAGTACACACTATGACCATGTTCTCGTTGAAATGTTTCTCCCAAAGCTCCTTGCTCCAGAGGTCGCAACCCATATCTCCGCAAAATTGCTCCATTTTGTGGTTCAGGTTGCACTTGAGAACAGCGTATTGTTGAAACACGAGCGCGACTGAGTCCACCAGGAAGAAAGCAATGCGTTTATCGCCTCCATTTTCTCGACGCTCCAGTTCCTCATCGATGACATGGCGTAAGAGTAGGGCGGCGATTAGAGTCTTGCCAGAACCCGTGTCTAGCACTGCAATGGTATTCTGTGTTTTTGCTTTCTCGAAAAGCTCGATCTGGTATTCTCTCGGGCTGGATATAATCTCTTGGCTACCGCTGTCCTTGATTAACCACTTGACGGATTGCTTGTCGTCGCCTTTAGTTTCTGGTGCAGTTGAGCCTTTGGTGGCTTGAAAAATCCGACTCCGGATATATGACTCGCGAACAGACTTCTCATACGACAATTCTTGGTTTTCGCTCGGTGCTGGCGATTCGTCGTCGCTCTCGGTCTCATCATCTCCGTCTTCGTCTTCGATAAGTATGTCTTCTTCTATTCTGGAGACATCCTCAACAAATTCTGTAAGACGCTCTTTGTGAACTGTTGGTGCGCCTGGGTGAAGTCCACGACGACGAAGATCCTCGATCACGGCGTCTGTCGACCTGTTCGCCAACGCTGGCACCATGACTTCAGGAACTTGCATGTTGGAAGCGGTAGCCAGAGAGACTGCAGGAGACGGTGAATCTACCTGTTGAGCTGGGGTTGCAGGTGGATTTGGTGTTGTAGGTGACTTGAGTGTTGTCACTTGAGAAATTTCAATATCAAGATCCATATTGCCCTCACCTGGAGCACCATCGACTCCCCTTTGGCCATGTAGTGGTGCAGATGTACCAGCAGTGTGGAATATTGATCAAAATTGAGTAGCCAAAGAGTAAACAAGGTGAGAGGACTACTTTTGTAGTATAGGTGGGTGAACCCTGGATGGTAAAGGGAATGGGTAAAGAAGGCTCAGATGGGTTGGAAGATGTTATGGGTAACGAAGAGAGAATAGAAAGCGAATATAAAGGGTAAATAAGCCCCGAAAATAGAGAACAAACACGATGTTTCGCTCACGTATGAACTGTAGCAAACGACATTAAGATGAGGACAAACCAAACACCCACGCTGACCTGAAAAATGCCTGAACTCAAATTGAAGTCTCAAGAAGAACAAGCGGGCTTCAAAGGCCCTGGTATACCTAGCTCTGGTTTATAGATTCACCATCATTTATGGTGAATTTGCATATTTGGGAAGGGACGTTATAAAGAAGACGAGCTTGCGTTGGGCAGTAGTGTGCTCAGCTTCACCGCCTTTGCCAAGCCAAGAGTGTTCCAAGCTCAGTCACAGCCTCGCCTCCCCCACTACAAAATATAGAACTGTGTTGTTGCGATTCAGCCTCGTCACATACGAACAGCATGGAGGACCAAAACATTAAATCGCTCTTTGCGCAAGCAGAGAGGAAGAGGCAAGAGATTGAGCAAACTTACGACAGAAACAGTAGGGCATACCATGATAGCCTTGCCACGGCAGTTGGAAGCTACGAAGAGTGCCGCGTACTTACAGACAGGCAGTCCCTGTTCAGCCTCAACGAGATACTCGAGGACATAACTACTGGCGACCTCCCGTGAGTCCATTGATGTGAGGGCTTTATATAGAATACCTGCTGATCAGCCTCACAGATACCTCCTTATAGACTACCATCTCGGCGACCTCTACACGCGTACCTCGAACCCCGACAGAAAGACCGCCCTCACACGAGCACGAGACGCATACGAGCGTTTCCTCAACCGTCTCGATAGCTATGCTGTCCTCTCTGGAAGCTCTAAAAAGCTGAACGATGAATATAACGAGAACCCAACTACCTTTTCCACGATATCAACGACAGACTTCACCGCACGGCGGGCCGCGAAGATCGAAAACTTCAAACTAGAGAAAGACCTGAAGCAGAAGATTGACGTATGTCTTCCAGAACCAACGCCACTTTATACTCTCAATATATGATGCTAACAGGTCTCCAAGTTCCTCTCCCGAAACCCTGCCTACCTCTCCCAAGACGACGATGCAATCCGCGACCTCCACCTGGCCAACATCAGCCTGTCTACCCATAACACATTCCAGAACCTTGAATGCCTCAGCCTCGAGATGTCCGTATTAGCCTCCAAGCCACCCACGCCACCGCCCGGCCCCGAATCCATCGCACGCGACTACCGCGAGCGCACAGGCGCACGCAGTGGTCCTGACTACTCCGACCGTCTTGACCGGCCCATCTCGGAGTTACTAGCTGCGAATAACAGAGCAGGGCCGCTACTGGATAATAGCGGAAAGCCGCTGAAGGTATTTACGTTGACTGGTGGCCGGAAGCAGCTTCAGGATGGGGTCTTCAGGTCGGGGCATAACCTACCGACGATGAGTATCGATGAGTACTTGGAGGAGGAGAGGAAACGTGGAGGAATCATCGAGGGTGGTGGAGAAGCAAGTGGAATTATCGCGGAGCCTGATGAGGATGATTACGAAAAGGGCGAGGCGGAGACTCTGAAAGCGAGAGCGTGGGATGAATATGTGGAGGAGAATCCGAAGGGGGCTGGGAATACGCTCAATAGAGGGTAGAATTTGAGTTTGTAGCTCGAACTTTATCTATGCACCCAGACATATCGTTGCATATCATTCATTTTGTGTGATAGTTGACGCTGACCTCATGAATGTGCAACCCTATCAAGCCTCGTCTCACGGCGAAGACACCCTCGGCCCAATCTCAACCCTTTTCTTAAGGACACTATCCTCAACACCACTCCGTATCTTCCCATCCAACTCCTCCGGATCAAAGTCCGTCCCCAACGGATTCTCCCTAAACAGCTCCCCTTGCATAAACTCCCTCGCCTCATCCGGACTATCAAAATTATCCACCTGCGTCTCAATCTGATTCCCATATCCAGATAATACATCCTCGTCGTCATCCTATGATTCACACACCACGTAGGCAACACCCCAAATGCCTTGCGTTGTTTATACGCCTCCACCAGATTCGCAAGACTCGCGAATGTGAAGGCGACGTGGTGCATCCCCGCCCCCTTGCTGCTGCCTTGCTCAGGTTGGGCGCTGGCATCGGCGATGAAGGCGATGCGGTGGTGCTCATCGTCGTATTGGAGGAATGCGATGATGTCGTTTTGGAAGACGACTGTGGCGCCGAGGAAGAGGGTCCAGAAGTCGATTTGGCGTTGGAGGTTGGCGGTGCGGAAGACGATATGGGCGAGGGAGATGGGGCTGATGACTTTGCTGCTGCTGGCATCGCTGGAGGCGGCCTCAGATTTGGGGGTGGACATGTTAGGGAGCGCGAGATGGAGCTCGATGAGGAGTTGGAGGATATGAGATAAAGTTTAGAGAGTGAGTGGTGGTTAAATCTCTAAACACATCGGTGTCGGCATTGAATAGGGGTGACTCGGTATGCGAACAGAAGCATGCACGGCTGAGTGAGATGGTCCACATCTGTAAAGGGTTTGTATCACCCGATTCCCCCTCGATAGGATCTGGTAAAACCCTATAGGAACGGCGTTCTGCATTAGCGGGCCTGTTTGATGAGAGAGTGAGAACTAGCCCTAGAATCTATCTGGTGCCAATGAAGAATGTTGTTATGCGTTGAGATTCGCTCCGTTTGAGAACTGAGAGACTCACAAAGATGCACTGTAACCTCCCGTGCATTAATAGAAGGTTTCATACTCGGTCTGTATGCACTTTACCTTTGCTTATCAGCTAAAAGTGACTCGAATAGAAACATATTGGGTGATCAAAACGAAGCAGGCCATTGCAACCGCTACATCCAACGTCCTACGCATTGTCACCAAGTTTCTTGCGAGTTACATTAATTACTTTATCAAATATGACAGTGAAAGAACATGATTATTTGCCAGATGCTACCAACGGTTGCCGCTTGGATGTTATCGTTGTTGGCGGCGGCATGGGGCTTATTTGCCAGTATCCAATGTGCTCTATCGGGGCACCATGTTACGGTTATCGAAGCTGCGAAAGCTTGCCGAGGTACGTTGCCGTGAAGGCTGTTTCTTTTCCGGAGTGCTTCTGAGTTTTGATGACACAGTCAAGTTCTCACAATAACTACAGACCGGTGCAGGGATCCAGGTGACTCCCAACTCTTCGACATTATTGAAAAGATGGGGACTACGAGTCCTTCTGGAGTTCCGCAGCGAGGCCAAGTACAATGAACTTCCGGCGTTATTCAGATGGTACGATTCTGTTCAGAGAGCAAAATTATGCCGACAGCTTGAAGAAAAAGTATGGGTCTGATACGTTGAATATCTCTCGGGTGGATGTCCAAAAGGGTCTTTATGATCGAGCCAAGGACCTCGGGGTGGAGTTTCATTTCGGCACTAAAGTTGTTGAGATTGATATGGACGATGGGCGAGTAAATTCAGCAGCTGGGCAAGAGTTTAAAGGTGACCTTGTCATCGGTGCGGATGGGATATGGTCGCGGTGCCGAGAAGTTCTATTGGGGAAACAAGACCACCCTGAAGCAACAGGGGACCTTGTCTACCGCATCATTCTCAACGCAGAAGACGTCCCCGCCGGGGGAACTCAGAGACAAGATTACAAACCCGGAACTTAATATCTGGTTTGGGCCAGACTGTCACGCCGTGCCATATTCTATTCGGAGCGGCAAGGCGCTAGGTCTAGGCCTCGTACGCCCGGACGACCTTCTAGTCGGGTTTCTAAGAAAGAGGGCTCTACCGAAGAAATGAGAGACCTCTTCCGTAATTGGGATCCAATGTCGCTTCACTATTCCAATAGAAGAGGCAACTGCTGATATTTCATAGTTTGGCGCGGTTCCTGGACCACGTCAAAGTCGTCGAGACGTGGAAGTTGATGCATCGTGAGTCTTAGAGCTTGGGGTTACTCTGTGGATGACGAATGCTGATGGCCTGATTAACTCTAGGACAGGAAGTGGAAACGTGGATAAACGATAAAGGAAATTTTGTTCTCATGTAAGATCGAAGATGAGTAGATTTTCTCCTATCGCAGCTAACACCTGAGCAGTGGTGATGCCTCCCATCCAATGATCCCCTATCTAGCCCAAGGAGCCAACTCGGCCATCGAAGATGGAGCTACCATTGGTTTAACCCTCGGCAAGATAACGTCCAAATTGCAGCTCCCTCAAGCCTTGCAGATGTTCCAAGCTATGCGTAAAGCGCGAGGAGAGGCCATAGAATCTAGCCCCTTTGTTTGATATAGGAGATAAATGGACGGGCCGTTTGTCTCCTGTATGTTATATTCCATGTGATAGAAGCTCCTTCTGAATAACATATCTCCTGTCATATCTGATAGCATGAAAAAGGCCAATAGAAGCTCCTTAATTACAAAAATATTCCTCAACGTCCAGTCATGTGCCACTCTATTGATTTGTAGGATAGACTGTGCACCATTGGACCTCAACCCCCAGATTGTGCGGGGAAATCCCGCCCTACTCCATTGAGACAAGCCGAGACAACTAAAAAAGTAGTCGCACGTGCAAAGATTTCTATGGTTGAGTTGAACCAACAAGGTATATATTTTTAACAGGCCAGAGAGGATAAATCAACTCGCCGACGCGATAAATAACGAAGAAAACCTCTCCGAAAAACATAATCTCGAGGCAAGACGAGCGTTCAACACACTCGCAAGTTGTAGGCACTAGTGACGGGTAACTGTTGGGAAGGGATAACCGATAAATCTAGAGTACCTACTCTAGAGTACCTACTCTAGATTTAGATTTATCGGTTATCCCTTCCCGTACCTAGGTAGGTACGGAGTACTGTAGTAGGTGGTGAGGAGGTGGAACCGTTAGACGTCACTGCACACGCGACTCCCGACGGCGACCGAACGTGCCAGGTAGATAAGACAACAAGACAACGGCTTGCGAACGACAATACATACACAGCAAAACGACGACCAAAAATTGAATAAGCACAACGAAAGACCCTGAGCCCAGAAAACCCCAATAAGTGAGGCAGAGCTATTCAACAAGCACACACCGCTCGCAGAGAAACCTACATAATGGCACCAGGACACCCCAAGCCGTAAGTTCACCGCCACCCCGCCTTCAATCCGCCCCTTGCCCCTCGTCCGGGAAACAGAAACCAAAGCTCCAGCTAACCCCCCTTTCCAGGCCGTCCCGCGCACCGCTCGTTATTGCCGCCTTCGGAGGCGCTGCAGCTATCTTCGTCGGCCTGAAATGGCGAGCCGTGTTCGCCCGCAGCGAGGCGGCTAAGGAGCGCAGCGGGGCGGGGGGAGGGAATGTGTATACAGTCCACACGGGACGTAGTGGTGGAGGGATCTAAAGAGTTTTGGCAGTGATTGGGGCTGTTGTGAATATCTGTATCTGATGCATGGGCTGCGCGGGGGGAATACCAGTGGGAGGCAGGTGTGCTGCGAGGATGACACGGGAAGTGAGATGGAATAGTATACTAGGCTGAGTAGTCTAATGGCATCTCTTCTCACAACCTCACGATTTTGTTACTTTTATCAACGACGATGACTGGTATAAATGCAGTTTCTCTAGCTAGATGCTGAAGACCGACTGGTCATAGTACCAAAAGCATGACGTCCCTGTATGGCGTGCCGCCATCAACAGGCCCAGGCGGCTTCCGGCCTTGATGCCATCTCATGGAACACCTTGGCCGCATCTTTCTCACTGCCGCATCCACCATCGCCTAAGCCGCCTCGTTACCATACCTTCTTGTCGCCCCATCTTCTTGTCACTGTGACCAGCGACTCATCACCAAGACCCACCATACTTCCGCCAGCACCAGGGCCGGCGCACACATCAACCCCCTGGACCATAGTCTCTCGAAGGCCCGCCTGTCTCCGTAACACAGGTGCAGAAACCCACAACTGTGCTACCCCTATTTCTCAAGCCATCACACCCCGAAACCACCCGTCGCCCCAACAGCGTATCTAGAATCCTACACCGAAGATGCCAACATCCCGCAGCCCCCCATACACCCCTACTTCTACAGACCCACCCACCCAACCCCCCGATAAGACTGCATTCCCCTATCCCAGCGCGTGATCTAGATACTCATGTTGGCTCAGGTGATTACTCCATCATCGGCGATGGACCACAGCTATGTGCCCGTTCACAGTAGCATGCGATAGCGGAGTGTGGCCAGCCTTGTCTTTTGAGTTGAAGTCAATGTCGGCCCTCTGGAGTAGACGCTTGAGGCTGCCCTCATGACCGTTTCCAGCGGCATACGATAGCGGCGGCCAGCTTTGTCTTGTATGTTGACGTGCACGGCCCTACATCGGAGAATTAACTTGGGGCCGCCCTTGAGCCTGTTCCCCTCGGCATGAAATGGCGGCAACGGGATGTCTATGTTTATTAACTCGTCGTCGAGGCGCTGCACCTATTAAGGAGTAGTAGGAGATTAAGGATGCCCTCATGCCCATTCTTAGCGGCATATGATAGCGGCGTCCGGCAGCCGAGTCTTTCGAGTCGACGTTGGCCCCTTCGCGGAGTAGCAGGTTGAGGCTACTCAGGTCCCCATTCCCAGCGGCATAAGATAACGGCGTCCGGCCAGTGCGAACAATACCCATCATATGAGAGGGTCTTCGGTTCAGGGATATGGCCATGCCATAGATACGGCCATGCGACTTCATAGCCCGGAAAAGGTACCCGAACATCCCGTCGAGACGCACGAGACAGCGGCTGGGTTGGAATCTGACTTCTGGCATGGGCTGATACTATTAAGTGGATTTGTTGTTGTGATTTTGGTTGGATCTGTTGTGGGTGCGGATTATGTGTTATATGGGTATGTACAGGTGTAGTGAGGGTATCCCCGTCCTCGTCGCCGTAAACACCTTCATATCTACCGGAATCATCGGCATCCATCTCCATCCACACCATTGGCCTTCAGCGTCCATCCACATCACCGTTACATCCCACCACGAACAAACCACTATAAAACATGCCAACGCAACACAGTCAGTAATCCTGTCTTTCCCCAGTTCTTTACTTGCACAGTTCCCACACCCGCTCCACCTCAACCACAGCACCACAAAACACACTCAATCCCACGACAATGGATTTACAACAGTCAGCAAGGCTTTCAGGTGTTGGATTCCAAGCCCAGCAGCTTTAAATATACCTTCCCGGCGCCTATGATCCTTGCGCCTGAGGCGACGTTGGCGTACATCTTCTGGGCCGTGAAAGCCGGAAAAATGTTGTCATCAGCAGGTGTTGTTGTCGATAGGTGTTGTTGTCGGTAGGTGTTGTTGTCGACAGATATCGTCTCGTCTCCATCATGGCTCGCTCAGCACTGGCCAGCGGGTATCACGTGACCCTCTTTTACGTGACATGACGGATTTATCAGTAATTGTGTTCTCGGAGGCGGATGTCAATCAGGGATATAGCAGTTGCTATTTTGACCTCGGAGTCGTTAGGTTCTATCCGTTGTGGCGGATGGTCTCTAGGTGGTGTAAGTTATCGGCACTGGACGCCCAAAGTAGCGCCGTAACCAGATTTGATTTAGCATAAGCGGCGATACCCGGCAGAATAGAAGTCGCCATATCGGGCTAGAAGCTTGTTTTCTGCCAAAACCGCTATCGATATGATTTTCTCGAGTTGGCGCCCGAAATAAATGCGACAACCTTGTGGGAATCTCAACAATTATGTCAAAACGTGCACCAGTCGACATCGGAGATGGGCATGATGCCTATCTGAAGCGTCAAAAATTGTCCCATGGATTGAAGACAGTGAATACCCAGCAAGAAATTCAATCTGGGAGACAATTGCAGCAATTGCTGAGTTTCGATCAGGATCTAGCAAGAGGAAAGCATGGTACGTATTTCTGGATATATTTTAATTCGTTTGGCAGACCTTAAATGCTCTGACGGCGGTATCTCCCATCACTATATTATTTCATGGCTCCGTCAATACTTAAAATACCATCCTAACAACCGACAGGAATTCAATCCTTCAAAGCTTTCCTTGATGGCCTCCTAGGTGAGGAGCAATCCGACCGCCTTTCTATTCTCCAAGAATATCTTCAAGCACAAATTACGACAGACGAAGAGGATAAAGCTGCAGTATATCTATCGGATATCATGCAAACATGGAGCTTCGCAGCCCAATCCAACAACGATTCGCTCCTCTCCGCGGTACCTGCTGTCTTAGCCCTCCTGTTCAAAATAATATCGACCAAACTCGAGCTCGTGCCATATGGCCTTCGACTGGGCCGAACGTTGCTGCAGAAGCGACAATTGGAACTGATTTCCCGTGGAACGACAACCAATAAATCAAAGGATTTTGTTATCTCGCCCGCACTGCGATTATTAAGAGAAGTTGCGATATTTGACGGAGGCGCACTTGCGAGCCAGCTTTTCCGTATCCGAGATTTGAGCTTGAAAGGGTTACCCCGAAACCTTGGAATTAGGTATTCCGGAGAAGGTCTGGAAGAACGTAGGAAACCCTCGGTGCGAACGAATTCCCTTCGCCTCTTCCTTTCTCTGGTCAAGTTTCTTCCCACGGACGCCAGGAAGGAACTATTAAGGCAACGGGATATTGTTTCAGGAGCAACGCGAGATATCAACCGCGACCCTCCGCATGTTATTGTGGAATTTTTGGACACGACTAGAGTTCATGTACTTCAAGATGATGCCCTCCCTTGCGACGCCAAATCTAAGCTTTTGAACGCAGTCAACCTCGGACGGATTGCCCAACTGTATGGATATGCCTTTGAAGGCGATGAAGCATCGGAAAATGAGAAACCTATCGATTTTCTGGTTAACGAGTGGCTTGTTCTAGCCTGCACTTCCCCAGACATGGGGTTGCTTTACCGCCAAAGTGGCTTCTATCCGAAAGACGCCAACGCAGATGACACTGGCAGACGTGCTGGCCCCGAAAGACATGTCGATATTGGCCTGGATAGCCTCGATTGGGCTAGCCGATATAATGGCAAAGTCACCGTCCGCAATTCCGTGTTGTCTGAGTTCATACAAACCCTGCGGCCTTGGGCAAGCACCAATCAATCAAACCTCTTACTTGCTATATTTAAAGTTGCTCCTGAACTGGTGGCACACTACTTTTTCAACAAGCAGAGCTTTCCATTCGACCCGAAAGCCACATCGACATGGATGGGATACTCGGCATTTCTCTTCTCCGTACTCCAACTTCCAGTCCCAAAATTCTTTGGACATCTGGAACGATACGCAAGAACCCCACCACCATCATCGATCGTTATTGAAAGCATATTACCTCAACCAGCCAACCAGAAAATCCTCACGCGATGTTTGGGCCAAAAGGATCCTCTCATCACCTTTTTCGTGGTCCGTCTGCTGACAGTTGCTTTTGAAAAGCTCCAAAAGATTCTATCTATGTATCGCGAGGCTTCTGAGATGTCTCCTCTTTGGAATGAGGCAGCCATTAACCTCAAGGATGAATTCTGCAGAAGATGCCCTGCTATGAAAGATGCTATTAGCTCTTTCAGAAGTATTGATGATTCTGAAATTGCTCAAAAACAAGCTGCCAGTAGGCTATTGGTCATGTACTATGAAGTCGTACCCCAGGCGGCGTTAGAATCCAAATTTGATGTATCCACGCCCTTATCAAAGGCATTACAACTACTGGAATCAGAAGAGATCTCGCCGGAAGATAAATCTCAGCGGGTGATGGAAGTCGAGAATCTTTTCCGAATCGCTCATTGTTCGCCAGGAATGAGATGGTTCAACAAATCGGAAGGCCTATCAATTTCTCCATTCACGTCCATGCTTCGTCTACTTGCCGAAGCTTCTTCAGATATGCCACTGCTAAAGATGAGGTCTATTGTGGATTCCTTGGTTAAAGAGAATGGAATTTTACAGTCACAGACCGAATTATCGTCAGTTGATGCCCTTATTGCTTCTACCAAGGCATCGATTGAAGATGAAGACTCTGGGCTGGTCTTCGAGTTTGTTGACAACTGTACTCTCCGATGCTCATCAACCCCCATCAAGTATATTGATGCTCTAGAGCAGGAGTATGCTGCTGTCTCCAAAGGTGACGAAACCAGCATACAGAGTCTTCCAGTCAGCCTTCTCCATTTTTCTGTTGCAGAGCAGTACCCATTTGTGGTTAAAACTGCCGACACAGCTAAGATTGCCGCCGTTTCATCGTTTATTTCGCAGTACTTGGCAGCTTCTTTGAAAATTTCCGAAGACAAGAAGGTTTTGAAGTCCATCACCAAATCCCTCTCAGCTGCCTCATCGCCTTACCCGAAGATACAGAAAGTTATCGACCGCTCTAGGAAACTCGTCGACTCTATCGATATCCCAGGATGTTTCCCCATAGTGGCCCCGGCGCCCAAAAAGACCATGAGCGCTTCGGCTGTCACAGACACCCAAAAGCTTCAAATTACTGCTACACTCTCGGCCGTGTCACTACCAGACCTAGACGACCGCACGCCTCTGTCACGATGGCCGAGCAAAGAAATTGAGTTTCTAATCGACGAAGGCCAGATTGCCTCCCTTATTCACCTCCTCAGCTCTCCGACCCTTTCCGCCCGTGTCGAAGCTCTCACCGCCCTTAGCAAGATCAACCACACGCTGAAGTCTTCCAGCTACCCGGAGAAAGAACCACTCTGGCTGCTTCTCTGTGAACTTCTCGAGACAGTGAGGCCCATCGTCAACGTCAAACCTGTGCCGTGCACGATTACGGTCTTCGCCGCATCAGCTTTGCGGGTGCTCATTGACCCCCTCCATGTTTTGTACGCGAAAGTGAACAGCTTCTTGACACTAGGCCCAAGCTGGGAGGCAGACAAACTACCTCTTGTTCATGCTGTAATTTCTAGCCCACCGACTCTGGATGATGCGCGCTATACGGAGCTTATTTGGCTCCTTTCTTACCTGCTATCGTCTCTCATGACTACAGAGGAGTTGGCGATCTTTCACAAAAGGCGGGTGTTTGAGAAGGCTCTAGGTATCTATAGCAACGTATACATGGCCGATAACCTACGCGAAAAGATTCTACAAATTGTCTGGAGAGCGACGGAAATCGAAGGGGGATCCGAAACACTTCTCACGAGATTCGGCGTGGTTAGCTGGTTGAAGGCACAAGTTGCCCTGGAGGGCAAGAAAGGACTTACTGCGCAGATACTCTTAGAACGACTTGTGAATACATGTAGCGAGGAAAGGTTAAAGGGGTGGAGTGGGCAGAGTCCCCAGGAGATCATTGATGGCTTAGTTTCCCAAAAATAGATTGCCTATGTATGTTAGTTTAGCGGCAGATCTCACGATAATTCACGCGGAGCATACCTACACGATGTGGTTGATTGGTTGAGTCTCGTTGAAAATACGAATCTCACGGAACATTTAATAACACAGTATAAGTCAAGTCGAATGCCTAATGTTAACGCGCTGCTCTTCGGGTTTTACACCCGGACAGTGATGCAAGGCGGAGTTGAACATGCGTGAAGTGTTTCCCTATTTGCCTCGTTGCTGGATAGCAATTTTAACTTGGTTTTAACGCTGATGTCTTTAGACGACTAGTAGTTCACTGCTACAGTGCAGAAGTGTTAAACGTCCTGAAGGGGAACGTCTGGCATTGTAGTTAGAAACCCCCTCTCCATCCTACTCCGCCCAAGTTTGTTTTTGATTTCACGTCTCCCTTCCCACAGAAGCACCCTGCAGGTACCCTGGATCTATACACCACTCTTCTTTCAACAGCCCTTTTAATATTTCTGTTCTGTTGCGTATTCGCAGATGAGCCACCATGAGTTCCAAAAGCGGCTCATACCCGCCCCTCGATCTGAGGGTTCTCAAGTCCCAAAACACCAAGAGGATTTCATACTACTATGATGAGGACGTAGCCAACCACTACTATCGCGAAGATCATCCTATGGAGCCACAACGAATCAAGATGACACACAGTCTTATCATGCACACCGGGATATACAAGAAACTATCTATTCTTGTAGGCGTCAACTATCAAAGGCTCTAGCAACATGCTGACGCCTATTAAAGCGTGCAAAGCCTGCGACTGCAGATGAGATGAAGAACTTCCATGCCGACGAATACGTCGACTTCTTGGAGAGAGTAACGCCAGAAACCGTGCTCCCACCCCCCGAAGAGTGTTTTGGCCTTGGTGAGAACGACTGTCCAGCTTTTGAAGAAGTCTTTAGATTCAGCGCCATCTCTGCTGCAGGAAGCTTGGAAGGAGCTGCGAAACTTGGTCTGAACAACTGCGATATTGCAATCAACTGGGCTGGCGGACTTCATCATGCCATGAAATCACAAGCATCTGGATTTTGTTACATTAATGGTAAATTTGTGGATCCAATGCTCTTTGATCATATTAGCTTACGAGGTGCTAGATATCGTGCTAGGTATCTTGGAGCTGCTCCGCCACTATCCGCGTGTTCTTTACATTGACATCGATGTCCATCACGGAGACGCAGTTGAAACCGCGTTTTTGACGACTGATCGCGTCATGACGGCCAGTTTTCACCAATATAGTCCCAGTGCTGGCTTTTTCCCTCAGACAGGGTCACTGAGTGATGTTGGCCGCGGAGAAGGCCGGAACTTTTCAGTCAATTTCCCTCTTAGTAAAGGCATTGACGATGCCTCTTACAAAGGAATTTTTGAGCCAGTGATTGAAGAAATCATGGCTCGTTTTTGCCCCTCAGTCATTGTTCTTCAGTGTGGTGCGGACAGCCTCAACCAGGACAAGCTTGGCGGGCTCAATCTGAGTATGCGGGGCCATGCAAACTGCATTGAGTTTGTAAAACGGCTCTCTGTTCCGACCCTGGTGCTGGGTGGTGGCGGGTACACTATCCGCAATGTTGCCCGAACCTGGGCATACGAAACAGGTGTTCTCGTGGGGACCGACCTTCAACCCTCAGATCTTCCTGTGAACGATGAATATTACGAAGTAAGTTTGCGAAAGCCTCCTTAGGAAACATCGATGACGCAGCTAATTGCAGATATAGTACTATGCGCCAGACTATAAACTCGATGTCTGTGCAGCAGCAGATAAGAAGAACCAGAACACTGTTCGGGTTCTTGAACAAACTAAAATCAGAATCTTTGAGAACCTTCGAAACATCGCCGGCCCCCCATCTGTTCAGATACAAGACGTCCCTCGGTCATCGCTTGCTTTTTGGGTAGCTCCAGAGGCGGAGGACGCACGCAAGGACGCGGATGAGGTTGACTATCCTGATGTCCGATATACTGTCTATCGGCTCAATCGTCAGGTTCATAGGGGCGAGGAGCTGACTGATAGCGATGATGAAGATGGCATCACATATGCCATGTCTAGGCGTAGACAAAAAGACACTCCAACGAAAACTCCCCGTAACTATCGCGATGGCAAAGATGTAGAGCAAGGTACATATGGAAGGGTCGCACTCAGGTCAGACACTCAAAGACTTGGAATACTGGAACAAATGGTGAGGGTGGAACAGCATGCTAACAAGGTATCGCCAACAAAAAGATTAACAGATACCAACGTCGGCTCTGCCGCCGATAGTCCCACACGCGCAAAAGCGCGGCCTAGGGATCCAGCAGATGACCCCAGGTGTGAGTGCTGTAAGGTTGGGAAAACAAAGTGTGATAAAGCGAGGCCATTCTGTAGTACGTGTGTTCGGAGGAACAGACAGGATCGCTGCCTTTATCGCCGTTTGGATGGCACCATTGGCCCAGATCCCGAGGCAGAGGCTGCGCTGGCTCTTTGTAGATTGCCATTGCAAGGACGAAGTTAGACTAGATCTCCAGTTGGGAATCCTAATAAATAGTAAAATTTCGTGTGGGAATAAGAAGACAAATTACTGGCTTTACAACTTATGAAGCTAAGAACTTACATTAATACTATCGTTGCTAGAAACTGTAAGAATTATCGTTTACTGATAATGAATGGCGGTTTGTTTGTGAAGGAGAAGGTCGATTAATATTGTGGAGATGTGATGTTGATTTATGCTTGGACCCGGATGGGACGGGAGGATCTTTTGCTGGGGTATATTACTGGTTTGACGACATTGGTGAAGGGGGGAATGAGAGAACGGAGCTACTCCCCACAAATCTCCTCTCAGACAGGTAGATATGTATTACTCGCATACCAGTGTATGTGCAAATCAGCATTATTCAAGCACTAAATGAAGGCTGAAGGCTGTTTTACATCATCTGTTAGTGCATGGTCTAAGATGGTTTATGGCCCTAGTGGCCGAGTTGCAAGATCATGTGTATCGCGATTGGTGTGAGCATCTCTTTCATTATGTCAAATGCCCCCCTTAGATCACAACCAGAAGAAAGATAGGGTCATATATAGCTCGGGGCCTTGAGCTGTGATTGGAGCGCGGCGACCCTTTTATTACCCCCTTCAGATGCCTGGATTTCAACAACTCGAGGGGTATATTTACGTGAATTGTCCGATAGTGTATAATGGAGGGCATCGGCACCCCAGTACATAGTAGGCAGACCATTGGCGTCCCCGACTCCAACTAACTGGCCCCCGGAGGAATTACTGGCACTGGGTATAAAGCATCAACTCTTATCACATCTCGGATAAATAGGGTAGGGCTGCCTATCAAGGCGTCATGGTTTCCTTTGAGTAGTGACATCAAGTTCATGGTGGATCGATATAAAACTATTGGGGGGTTGTTCTCGTACATTTTCTGGCTTCTCATACTTACCACACCCGTTTTGTTCTTTTTCACTCCGGGATCTCTTTCACCATGTACGGCAGAATAACATTTGTTGCCGGCCTTGCCGTTGCAAATGCACTCATTCCGGACCTCCACATGCGACAGGCTGGCGGCAGCCCCAAGCCTACTTCTTCGCCCACGGGTGGAGGCAGCTTGGGTGGAAGCAGCAGGGGCCCCGGATCTGGCTCGAGCTCTGGTGCCAGTTCGGGGGGTGGCTCGTCCGAAGCTACGGGTACTATTAGTGCTTCCCTTCCCATCGACACCAACTTTAGCCCAGAGCCGTTTTCATTCAACGAGGCGGCGACGGTCAACTCTGAGGCGCTCGCCTCAGCTGCATCGATTGCAGGGACTCCCGCAACCGATATCCCTGGTGCTACGATTCCTGCTCAGCCTCTTGTCAGCCCCAACCCGGAGACAACTCATGGAAATTTCACTGGCACTGCTACCGTAACGGGTGCAATTGCAAAGGGAGCATTGAATGGCACTATCTCGGCCCTCCCACCCAACCGTGAAGCAACAGTGTTCAAAGCGAATGGCATTCTTCAGAGCAACCAGACGATCCCCTTCCAGCCAGCTGGTGGGCTCGGAACCAATGGCACCGAGCCGGTATACCGCGTTCAGTCCGACTTTGATTACCAGTCGCTACTCCTTGGCCTCTATCAGGAGTGGATCGAGCTAGATCTTTTCAAAGATATTCTGAACCGCTTCTCCGAAGCCGACTTTGCCAAGCTGAACCTAACCGCCAGCGACCGCTTCCTGGTCGAGTTTATGGCCGAGCAAGAGAACGGCCACGCTACTCTCGTGAGCAATCTCCTCGGCGGCCCCGGTGGATCAACCCCACAGTGTAGCTACCACTACCCCTACGAGACCCTGCACGAAGCTTTCGACTTCGCCGCCAAGCTTACTCAATGGGGCGAGTCTGGTGTCTGGGGTTTCCAAGCACATCTAGATTCGCGCGAGTCAGCCCAGCTCCTCGACCAGTCCATCGCAACAGAAGGCCGCCAAGCGATGATTTTTCGCCAATTCGCAGGCCTCTTCCCAATGCCCGTCTGGTTCAAGACGGGCATCCCACAGTCATGGGCCTGGACCTACCTTGCCCCATACATTGCCTCCTGCCCATCCAACGCCAAGCGTCTCGCCTGGCAGAACTTCCCGGAACTGCACATCCTGAACCAGCCTAACACAGCCCTCGTGAACGCCTCGCAAGGTGCCAGCGCAGCAAGACCTGGGAATACTACCAAGATCTCCAGCAATGAAACCGTAGGCTGGGGTCCTGCCGCTCCGGGCAGTGACGCAGCGGCAGGAAATGCTTCTTGCACTTTGACCAACAAGACCGGCAACTCCTGCGAGGGCTCCGTTTCCCAGAACCGCTCGATCCCATTGTCCTTCCCAGGACGCCAGGTCTTCTTATCCTGGGATGCGCCTGGAAAGCCTGTAGGACCTAATAACTCCTACGTGACGAGCACGCTGGCCAAGGATCCCAAGTTCGTGGTTTGGGTATCGCAACTCAACGTCACGTACTCGCCGCTAGAGGACATCAAGTTGGTGCCGAACGGAACAAGCAGTGGGACGACGCTGCAGCCCGATATTAGCACGTTTGAAGGCGACCCAGCGATTAATGGTACTATGTTTATTGGACTTACTGATACGGATGCGCCGTTCTCGATGTTTAACCTTACCTCTGTCAATCCGCATGTCGTTGCTTTGGGGCTGTATCAAGCGGGATAAGCAGGCGATTTGCGATGGAGTAAGGCGGTATCATAGTTAGTAATAGATAATACTCGTACTCTTGTAATATAATACGCACTACTGGTTGATCTACCTTTAAATCCATTTAGTCTCGCTGGTAATCTTGACAAGGGTGGGGAGGTGGACACTCATCAGATGGCATCTTTTGAACTGATATTCATATCTTTTGTGATTTAAATTTTATCCGCTGTCCTACCACGGATTTACTAAACGCCAACAAATGCACCAATGCATGCTGCCTCCCACCACAACTCCTTCCGCTGGGTATCCTCTAATCGAACGCTTCCGCAAAGCTATGCCATCAGCAGATCCAATCTAAATACCCAACCACGTCTTGACCCTCTCATACACGAAGAAGCTAATAGCAACCATGGGCACAACCTTCACATAGCCAATACTCAGTCCCACCCAGAACCCCCTGAAGCCCTTCTCCTTGAATATAATCCCCGCCGTCTCGCGAATACGTAACCGCCGCCCATCTCCCACTGCTCCACCAACTTGCATGCGTCTCCGGATCACCTCTAGCGGGTAACTCGAGGTCTGGCTCACCAACCCCGCAATACCACCCGCGAATAGCTCAGCCCAAGATTTCAATGGATCCGGCTTTCCTTCAGGGTATCCCGCCGGCCTTGCGTAAGTGGTATACTTCGCGATAGAATGGTGGCGCAGTAAATCCCCCGTAGTATCGTGAGTCAAAAACGACATCCCAGCATACGGAAGCATTCCCAGCATCGTCGGCGAGAACCCACGATAGAAGTTTATCAGGCCGCCTTGGGGTGCGACTTTATGAAGTGTTTCGACTGCAACCTTCTCAGCCGCCTGGACAGTTGCGACAGGCGCGGAAGTCGATGTTATCGACGGGGTTGGCCGGCGCGCCGCCGGCTGCTCGTGGTATATCGTCCTGACAATGTTGGTGAGGCCATTGCGGTGGTCTTTCCTCGTCTCGAATGCCAGGCGCACTCTGATGACTTCGAGCGGGTACGTGAAGAAGACGCTCGTCACGCCTGCCAGACTGCCAGAGAGGAGTCGTCGGAGAGGTGTTTCGTGCTCGGGGCTGTGGACTATGACGGATCGTATCTGTTCGTACGCCAGAAACTTGATGGCGGCATAGGGGAAGATACGGAGGATCGTCGCAGAGTGCCCGCGGTAGAGTCCGACAGCGCCTTCGTCACGGTATATGGTGCTCATCGCGGCGAAAACGCCAGCCCAGGATCCGGCATATCTCGCGAACTGTGGATTGGAGGACTGGAAGAGGATTTTGACTCGGTCAAGCGGCGCAACAACTGATTTAGCCTGGGGGGTACTATTAGCACGATTGCGACTGAGAGGAAGAACGGAGAGTGTCACGTACAGCGCATCCGGCAAGACCGCCGGCGAGCCCACTTCGCCAGAGATAGTCCACGCTCTGTTTATTCGGGCGCTTCCTCGGCGTCACCGCCTCGTCGTCGGTAGGACAGACAGCCGCATCTCTGGGTCCATGCTCCCCGCGCGCATCCATCTCTCGAGGTCTGTTCATCGGTGGTGTCGTTGTCGGGAGTGTCGTCGGCGCGGAGAGGGAGGCATGGCTCAACAAGGCCGGGGGCATAGCTTAGCGAGCTGGTGGCATGCCTCGCCGCCGCTAAGAGGTTTATATAGACTATAGACGTTATCTGTAGGGCTATGAGAAGTTCATGTCAAGATTTTGAGGCGAATTTGTTAACTATAATTAATTATGTTGCCCATTTGGCTGTGGTCTGATTGGCAATTGGAGATTGGAACTGGAACAAATGTGAGAGCCCGTTACGTTTTCGCACCCCGCATACCGTCGGCTCGGCTTCGGCAGGGATCTTTGGCCCCCATTGCCGAGCTTTCAAGTTTGTAAGTTTTGACGTTTTATACTCCGTACAAACCCTATCTATCACACGATCTAACCGCTCCCGCCACTCTATTAGCTCTAATTCTATATAACTAATATGACAATTATAATATTAAGTGACTAAGAGCCTTCATGTTAATTATGAGTATTGTTAACTAGCGCTGTTGGCGCTGGCTTGGGACCCTATTTGCCTTGAACTGTCTAGGCACGTGAACTAGACTGGGTCACATGACCTATGATTTAGACTTTTAGGCGCTAGGAGTAGTGGCTAGGAGTAGTGGCGTTGGCGAATGGTCTGGAACATGTTTTAGGCACGTGCCTCGACGATGGCGGCATCAACGGCAACAAGTATGGGAGGCGATGCTTGCCCCAACTCCAGCGAGAAGACGTGCATTTTGTGGCAAAATGAAGACCATACAGTCACGCTGCTCGATGTCCCTTGCTCTATAGAGCTTGCGCAACAATTTGAACATGGCGGCGAAAGAAAACTGTGGTCTTCGTCTCCGTTGGAACAGCCGTATCCATCCCTTGAGCCAAAGTCCGAGAAAGCGCTTACTGCCCTGAAGTCCCAGAAAGCGATTGAGGCCCTGAAGAACCCAGATACAGATATCAACGACCTGATACTTCACCGGGTTCTCGCCTTGGCTCTAGAAGAAGCAGAAGAGGCGATAGGGGATAATGGTGACAGCCCGCAAGCCTGGTGTCTACCCCGTTCATGTTATGATGAAAAGCAGTCCAGTTTGCAAGATGACTGGCCGGAGAAACGCCATCATATAAAACATAAAGCGGGAGAAGCAAGCAATATTGCCTCATCCCCACCGCCGCCATCGTCCGTGCCTAGCTACCAGTACGGCAACAGCCAAGGAGGTGTTACTGATTCTTTACCATTGTCTCCTTTTCCATTGTTCCAAAACACTATGGGCCGTACAGTTACTATCTCTCTCCCAGGCAGCAATATCCCTGCCATATTTCCTGTAAACAGCACACACATCCCGGGCGAAATCATTTTTACCCTCCCCATCTTCATTCAAAAGGCGCCCCGATTTCCTCTCATTATTCTTGATCCCCCTTGGCCCAACCGTTCCGCACGTCGCGCCGGGCATTACCACATAGCCTATGGATTATCAGAGATTGGCACTTTGTTATCCGGTATTCCCATCAGAAGCAAACTTGAGAAAAACGGCTTGGTTGGAGTGTGGATTACGAATAAAGAGATATTTCGAGGCTTGCTGCTAGGAAAAGATGGAGAAAGGGGATTATTTGGGGAATGGGGCATCGAGCTTGTGGAGGAATGGGTGTGGCTAAAAATCACAGGGAACGGAGAGCCGATGTCACCAATTGATGGAACGTGGAGGAAGCCATTTGAGATTCTGCTCGTTGGGCGAAGAATTCCCAGAGAGGAGATAAATATCGACCCGTGCGAGGTTGGTTCAAAAACCGAGTTTGGCGAAGTCTCCGATGAGAGAAAGGGAAGGGAACAGGTTGGGAAATCAGGAGAGCAGCCCGTCGTTCAGCCCACGCCAGTCAAACGCCGAGTCATAATCGCCGTGCCCGACATGCATTCACGGAAGCCAAATCTCATGGCTCTCTTTGCACCACTGCTTCCATCTTCCCTGGTTCCACCGCACTGCCTGGAGATTTTTGCACGCAACCTTACGGCACATAGCTGGGCGTGGGGCAATGAAGTACTGGAGTTTCAGCGCTTAGAGCATTGGACTGAATGTGCCGATACTAGTAAGGAGGCCGGGAATATAGAAAAACATGTGGCACCGGTTTGAATGGAGAACGAAGGAGAGGCGGCATGGGGTGCTACAAGTTACGCTCTTGGGCTCGGAAATATATACCATAGTATATGCAATCAGGTATTGCGTATTCAAGACTTCATGAACATATAATTACACATGCTCCCATATAATACTTATAATACAACACTTTCGTCCATCCACGCGCCATTTCTACTACCGCCCCTATTGCCTCGGCAGCACAACATCCTGCTCCACCTCCATAGCCTCCCCAATATCCTCCCACTCATCCTTCGACTTCCACGCATCCGTCCCATCCAATAATCTCGCCGCCTGCTCCGCAATGCTCTCCCTCTCTCTGCTGGGCTGCTTCTTAATCGTCGGCTGATTCAGCTCCTGGTCCGACTTCTGGTCCTCCTTCGCCGCATCATAGGTGACCTTGTCCCAGGCTCCCAAATCCGTCGTCTCCTCTGGCCACTCGAATGGCTGCTCCATCTCAACAATCATCTTCTTGATGGCCCGCGGGCGGTACCACTTGCGCTGTGCCGGGCGCCGGGCTCCTGGCTTGTCCTGTCGAATTTTTTGCTGCTGGATGTATGAGCGCACGCCTAGGACGCGCACCGAGTAGACATTAAAGAGGTAGTCGCGAATATCGAGCTTGTTGAGGTTGAGGGGGACGATGAAGGAGGCGTGGGTTGCGGGAGTCTGAGGGGGGTTGCGGGTGAGGGTTATGGTGAAGTTTGGCCTAGGAGAAAATGGTCAGTATGGGGTCGCCAGTCTCTAGTAGAGGGTTTGGACAAACAGGAACACTGGTTTTGTGCCTAGGCGCAGTGGCCGTGCGAATTTAGCCGCTGATGTCGCCATTGTGGTGATGTTGAGTGAGGATGGATTGAGATGGATCGAGGTCCAGAGATGGCGGCGCTTGGGATTTTTTAGCCGCGGAGGCGCGCTTATACATTGAGCTTTTCAGCCTTGCCAACCGCCATGTGGCATTGCGAAACTAACATATATAATTTACAAATATGTATACAACCTACGGACGCTGAATTGCGATGTCAACTTGAATGCGTAATTAATCCGTCAGTTTCCATGGCATTGGAGCGCAGAGGTGGAAAACCGCGTGTCAGGTGCAGCCGGGACAGGTTCAAATACTTAACTGTTGGCGAGGTAGAAATATAGTACATAATGCCTTATACCCCCTCTTATAATATATAATCAAACCTGAACTCCTATCGTTGGGGAAATATATAGGTAATTCGGCGAATTCTATCGCACCAAGTTCTATACCATCACCCTCCTCAGCCCATCAGTTCCAGCCAACACCCTCCTTCCCGTGACAGCGCATCGGCCCTGTCCACTTTCCCATTTACCTTCTTTACCGGCCGTGAACTGTTCCTGTTTTTCATGATCTCCATTGACCCACTTATGTATACACGTGTAGCAGTACACGAACCCGGTTTGACATGCTGTTGGCGTCTCAACATCCTCTTCACATATAGGACATAAATCTGAGCCCTCTGGAAGCTGGACAGTATAGATCGGCAACAACGACAAAGCTGCAATGGGCGGGTTCTCAGGGACATCAGAAGGCTCTTTTTCTGTGTCTTTCTTGTCCGCACTCGACGAAGTTGTTGGGGTCTTGCGACCAAGAGCCACGCTATTGATTCCCGAAATTATGGGCGGCGGCAGCTCCAAACTTTCGCTGGCCTTTTTGCTTAGCTGTCGCGCGAAATCGGATGCATACCACCACTCCAAAAACTTCAAGGCGAATATGCTGGTTGGTAGTAATATGCTCATGCTCGACAATAACCTCGGGTATAGCGTCCTCGGACTGAACATCGACGTCGTTCCTGGTCTGGCGCCTGGTCCTCGTTTAGGTGGATCATTCAGTGCGGCGATGGCCCTGTAATCGGCCTCTCCAAGGCGCCTCATTCGTGTGCCAATAAGCCACATGAATGGTGAGTGGAACTTGCTGTTGTCGAATAGATATGCCAGATTAAATGCCAGCATTGAGAAATAGTATGCAGCGTTTATGCTTGGGTATATATTCCGTAAGAACCACCGGTAATAATGCATAAATCGTTGTTTGAGTGTTGGGTTTTGCGGCATCTGCGTATATGCCGAACCGAGGAGCGCTCGCGGCGCATTGATTTCGTAGCTTTCGTCGAGCTTCGCCTTTAAATATGGCAACCCAACCATCACAGCTAGGTTCTTCCATATATCTCTCTCCGAGAGCTTCAGAGATTCCCTCACGAGGGCCGGTGCGCCAAGCTGCGCCCGCGGCACCTCGCCCCGTAGCGCTTTCTCACGCTTGAGGCCATAGAAGTTCTCGGTGAATCCACCGCCGTGGGTTTTTAGGAAATGCCGCTCAACAATGAGCATACATAATGCGTATAACTCATCAAAGGAGTTGAGGACACGCAGGAGATAGCGTGGGTGACGGTGGGTGGCGATGGTGAGGAGATAGCGGAGTGACGGCGGGATGAGAGAGGCGAGTTGTTGTTCGGAGAGGAGCTCAAAGAGCGAAGGTTTGTGGTCATCGAAGGTGCCCTGGAGGGCCGACATAAACTCCATTTTGGAGCATCGGGAGGAGGTGTTTAGTGATTGTTGGAGGAATGGTAGTTAGATTGAGGAATAAAGAAGTGTAAGGGTATATGCGGCGTCGTTCACACGAGGCTGATGATGTTGCCGAGGCTCGATGTTCAGTTCCCAAAGAGGACTCGGCTAGTGGATGCATTTTGAATGACGCCCTCTTCATTCCATAAGCATCTCAGGGATGTCTGACGTGGACTACCTGGCTAGGTTTTGGTCTGGTTTATATTTGTATATTCCATAATACATAATAAGCAAATATCGTTATCGCGTTCATGGGATGAATAGATGAATACAGGTACGACCAGGGTATTTTGCTAGGCATGTGAGATAACGGTCTGTGGAACTCTGGAAAAGATAAGAGCATATGATGCGATTAGCCATGTCTCGTCCTTATCTTTTGTATCGAGTAAAACGACGAGGGACCGCAGATTAACGCAACAACATTAACCCTTCCACGAAGCTGCACAACCCCAAAATCTCCCAAACTTCTTCCAAAACAGTGACAGTAACAAACCCGAGCCAAATTTTTCGCCAGACGAAGATCTCGTCAACGCCAAATGCCATAAATTGCTTCCGCTGTGACGGGAGCAGCCGTCTTCCTACGAGAGTCTGAGGACTGACGATCCCTTGCGATTGCCTTATCACCATTGACCTGGGCCAACGACCAAGCCCGTAGCTAGGATGTCGTCTGGGTATGTCAGGATAGGCGCTTGATCTGGTTGTGGGAGCGATGCTAACGAATTCTTTAGATCCTTGAAAGATGTCGTGAAGTCAATCCATAACCAGGTCTCAAGCGGTGTCCTTCCTCTGTCAAATGACCTGATCGACCACATTCAAGCATATCTGGATAAGCACCTCCCGATTGAAGATGGCGACTCACAGAAGCTCCAAGAGGAACTTCTGTCGATTTGGCAAAAGCAAGCTGAGGATAAGCCTGAACGCCACTCAATCTTCATCGCTATTTTGCGGGAGTTAATACCTGCCATTAGGAGTGCAGCTCAGTGGTTACAATGGTGGGAGATGTTTGTAGTACCGGTACTGGGGAATATTGGGGACGGGAAGGGATTGGCAAGAGAGACCCGTCAACTTCTGCTTGACGTTTTGTTATTTGAGGCCGACGACGGTGACAGCGCGAGGATCGCGGCAGTACGAGAGACCTGCACCATGCTGTCAGATAAAGTCTTGGGGGTATGGCTTAGTCAATCTAGAGTTGCGACCACCGAAGCAGACGCCATGGCACACTATCTTGACCAGCAAATTAAAACCCTTCTCTTAGCATTTGGACAGAAGAGACCTCAGGTCCGTTACCTAACCGGCCCTTGCGATGGCTACTAACTGCGTAATAGATCCTCCTTACCGCTATAGATACGTACTTTGTGAAACGAGAGCACCGTGGCCAAGTTTTGTCTCTTCTCAGCGAATTTATTCGCCATGGCCCGCCTCATTTACATCTTCTCTTGCAAACCCCACTATTCGATAACCTTCTTCGGTGCTTGCAAATCGATACCTCAACCACTGTTGTTGCTCTAGCAATGACAGCTCTGACTATGATCTTACCACATATACCTGTCTCGACTAGGAAGCACCTCCCTTCGCTATTCAATATTTACACCCGCATGCTGTTTTGGGAAAGAGAAAGAGCCTTGTCCCCAAGATTGAGGCTAGATTCTAACGAACAAAATGACAACTCCGAATTATCTGAGAAGGGACAAGAAGAGAAGGTTCCGTGGGAGAAGCTGTCGTATTCCTTTCAATCAGACGATGAGACATTGCCTGAATTGTTACATTATTTTACATTCTTGTACGGGCTTTACCCTATCAATTTCATGAGTTACATTAGAAAGCCAAGCCGATACCTCAGACACGCCAACTTCCCAGGAGCAGATGATATCGACGTGGAGCCGAACGAAATTCGCAAGCGATCTGAGCCATTCAGGGAATTACATTTACTTCACCCCAACTTTTTCTCGCTAACTATCGAGTCCGAACTTACGGATGCCCATCAATGGATGAATAGTGCTGCATCTGATGTGGTCACCTTCTGCATGTCCCTATGTGTACCTGTCTATCATGGATCGAGGAGCGCCCCTCCTATGACAAGGTTTTCCAGTTTACCAAACCGCGACAGCAACCAAGATATTCCAGCTCAGACGTTGCTTACCCAAACGAACTCCGAAGAGGCACTGCTAGCTCAGCGGCACTCACATGAAACACCGAGTTCGGGCGGTGGCCCACCTGAATTAACCGCGTTGACAAGATTAACTTCGAGAACAAATCTTTCGGTATCTTCTGATGTCCACATGGCGACGAATCAAATCCAAGATATACGTTCTGACAGCCCCGGCATATTAAACCAACGTGGAATGTCGCCGCTGCACGATATTCTCAATTCTCAGCAATCACTCCACCGACGTTTGCACCAGTCATTACCAAATGAAAGCTCCACCACTTTATCTTCCGTGGGGGGAAATACCGATTCCTCAGCTAATGTAGATACATATCTGCAGTCTCTCGCCCAACTGCCTCCTCGCTCGCCATCATTGAGGCCATCTCTGGGAGACACCACCAACATGGCGTTCCTCCGCCGCGAAATTATGCTCTTGCGTAATGATCTTAACTTTGAGCGCTATCTCAAGCAGCAGCATCTATCCCACATTGGCCAACTTCGCCGGATGCAAGTCCGTGAAGCGACTGTCGAAGCTGAAACGCAAAATCTCATCAATGCCAACAAAATTTTGAAGGGCAAGCTCGAGGAGGCCAAAAATCTCACTACGCAAACCAAGAAAGAGTCCGACAAAAGTAGAGCCCAATCAAAGAAATGGGAACAGGACCTATCAGCGAAACTGCGCGCAATAAAAGATGAACAAAAGAAATGGATTCTTGAGGGCGAGCTCCTACGACGCGAGCTGCAAGAGTCGAAAAAAAACAGCGAGGAGCTAAAACAACTAGTTATCAAAAGCGAGGCGCGCGAAATGGAATCAAGCCGGAAGCTCCAGGCGATTAAAATCGAACTTGACGACCTCGCTAAACTCCGTTCAGATGTCGATCGCTTGACTGCACATCTCCGCGAATTCCAAAATCAAGAGAGTGAGATGGAGGATGTCAAAGCACGTGAAAATATAACGAACTCGAAAATCGAGCTTCTCAACATGCAGCTCTCCGGACGCGAGGAAGAACTGCTCAAAACGAAACGGGCTAATGCGGTGGAGATTCAGGACCTGAAACTCCATATGAAAGACGTCGCGCAGAACGCGCATAGCACGGCGACTCAAAACTTTAAGATGATGCTTGATAGTGCGCTAGCGGCGTCGAAGTTGCGACTTGCTGAGGTGCACAAAGCGCACACGCACCTCCTGAGGCGATACACTAGTTTACAGGAGGACTACTTGCGGTTGCAGGAGCAGCATAGCATCCCCGGTCCTTTATTAGGCGATTCCGACGAAACCGAAAGCTTTGAGAGTCATAGCCCTACTGACACCCGAAATATGGCACATGGGCCACCACGGCGAGGCAGCGAAGACCCACAGAGACTAGGTCATCGAGGGGTCGACGATGGCAGTCGTCAATGCAGTTTCTCGCCCGATGAACAGAGAAAGATGTCAGCTACTGGGTCTACGATGATTCCGACGAGGACGGGAAGTAGTACCCATTCTGACCCAAGATCACTATTCAAAGGTGGTAGTTTGGACAATGGTGCCGAAGCAGAGATGCCGAAGCCTAGGCCTGAGCGTCGGGCATATGGACGAGGTAAGTACCACTGGTTAATTTTTGTTAGCTAAACCATGGTCTCCAACAATATCATACCCTCCTTCCTACATTTGAGCTGTCCGCTGGTAATTTGACTGTCGCGAAACTAACCGGTTGTCTTTAGGTGGCGTACAGAACTCTGGCTTGAAGGAACGAAGAGAAAAGGAGAAAAAGGAGAAGAAACGAAGAGAGAGTGAGGCAGAATCAGGATCGCAAAGTCCAACACATAACAAAAAGGACAAGAAAGGCGGGTCCGGAGGATTTAAAAGCATTAAGGGGCTTGTGTCAATGTAGGGATGATTATATGGTTGCGATAGCCCCACGGCAGCGGGACTGGCGTTGAATGGGATATTTGGACGCAAAGGATGGAAATATGTTCGGATATAGGGTAAAGATATCATATCGAGGGTTTTGGAGTCTATATTTTACGTATATAATCAAAGCAATCACTATCTACTCTTGGAGAAACATGAATAGTAATGCGAACAATACTGATATGCTACGAAGAGGAATAATACTCTGAATTGTCATAACGTAACGTATGGGGAAGTCGGACATATGGGGTACAGTGTTCCGAGTAGTCTAGTCAGTCCGTATCTTTCACATTTAAATGAAGCACAACTCCTACGTGTGCAAAAAGCAGAGTGGCTATCTGCATATATAACAGCAAGAGAGTTAGCATTTTCAACTCAAAATATCACTTCAGCATGGAGAGGAGCAGGACTACAACCATTTGAACCACGACGAATTATCTGTGAAGTGACACTTCAAGAAGTTTTTGAAGTTGAACAACGGCCTCAAACACCACAACAACATGATATTTTTGATACTGTCTTTCAAAATAGTAGCCCACCTGACTTTACAACACTACTAATAACTTTGATTTTAAAACAAAGTTCTTAGTAATCCAATGTCAATTAAATATTAGTACAAATTAAATATAATATAGAATAACTTACGCTGTAATTCCTAAGTACTCTGATTATTTGCTGTCCAAGAGACATCTTTCCTTTATTTGCAATATGATCTTCAAATTCTAGCATTAAAGCTTCTTTAGATATATTATAATATATATATAAAGAGTCTAACGTACATGTATAGCGAAAGCGCCAAACAAGCGAAAGCGCCAAAATTATCTACCCTCACGACAAACATTGCGATAAATCTACCACAACATTAGAAATCAATTGAAACTACTCGGAGTCCTCTTCCTCAGAGGTGTCTATTACAATCTGACACGTGCGCGCATTGTGCCCAGTCTCACCACACTTGCCACAGCGACGGGCACGGGTTTCTTCCCTTGGCTTCCGACCACGGCTTGCCCTTATTTCCTGCTCTACCTGCTGCACAACATCCCTCTCATCCTGTAGCTCTTGCGCCCCTTGTTGACTAAGTGATCCTCCTTGCTGTAGTCATGTTTTCCTAGCTCTCCGGCGCTTGCTTAGTACTTCATTTGCCTGTCGTAGGTTTTGGTTCTCTCCCTTTAGCAGTGCTAATTGATGCATTATTTGCGATGCACCCTTTGTAAACTGGTCAACAGCTGCATAGATTGAGGTTGGAGAGCTATTTTGATGGCGTGAAATCCGAGTTTTAATAAATGTAGACTGTGACATAGCTTCAATTGGGTTGTTTGGTGTCTGAGAAACCCAAGGTTGAGCAGTACCTGGGCGGGAGCTTGGAGGCGTTGGTGTCCTTAACTTAAGATCAAGTGTAGATATCACTCTCTCAGGGTCAAATGGAAGAAGCCCTGCCCCTCGGAACCCGCCTCAAATGTTACTTTCCGTCATTGTAGTGTTAAATGCAGCGTGGAAGGCAGGAAAGAAGTCATCCTTTGTAATATGAGAAATATGAGCCTGCATCATATCTTCAATTTGCCGACCATAGGCCTGCTTTAACGGGCCGAAACAGCCAACATCAAGTGGCTGGAGTAGATGAGAAGAGTGAGCAGGCATACAAAGCGTAATAATGTTGTGTTCCTTGCAGTACTCCTCAAACTCATCTGAGTGGTGGCTCTCATGACCATCAAGGACTAACAAGCGATAACCACCAACACTCCGGGCCTTTGTATGCTTCTCAAAGTGCTGAATCCAATCCATGCCTCTCTCGTTTGTAGTCCAGCCATTTTCAGTAACAGAAATCACCCAATCGCTTGAAAATCCACTATTCTCATACCAAGATGTAAGGTGGTTTTTGCCTGCAACAATGATAAATGGTGGTACTGCCCAACCTTGAGAACTAACGCCTTGGATTACTGTAACCCATTCCCGATTACCAGGCTGTACCTTCTTTGCTTTTGCCCGCCCGTCTGAGCTTGTTACAACCATAGCAGTTGAGATAACGCCCATCATAAACCCAGTCTCATCAAAGTTGTAGATATCTGCTTCATCGATACCATATTTCGCAATTGTGTTACGCACAAGCTCAAACCAGCCATTAATAACTTCTGGATCTTCGCACTTAGCCCTCTGGTAGTCGTATTTGCGCTGAAAGCGTGTCTGGAGCTCTACACGCCGCTTAACAAAGTTTGAAGCCCAACGCGACCCAACGCATGACGCGTCGCGTGTTGCAAGTAGTCGACTTGCCATATCTTCAACAACAGACAGCCGAGGAGGAAACCCTTTGGCAGCTAGGTCGAGTATATACTGAACAAGGACGGACTCCTCTAGGTTAGTTAATTTCCGTGAGTTGGCTTGGATATCGCGTCGTGAAGGTACACCTTCTAGACGACGACCTAGCTTGCGGTGGTCCACAGAATAGATCCTAGCAGCAACTCGAAGGCGTAACTTTGGGTCGCTTTGCATAGCCTGGATAGCTAGCACTAATTGGCTTTCATCGTTTTTATGGGGCATGTTTTGTTGTTGAGGAATTTAACATTTAGTTGGGGGGTTTGGTCACCGCATCATTTTGGCGCTTTCGCTTGTTTGGCGCTTTCGCTATACATGTACGTTATAATGCTTTGTCTATATAGACTTGGAATTTGGCCATCTCTATAAAATAGTTAGTATAATGTATAATATTAACATTAACATAAAGAGTTACTTACCCCTTTGTATAACGTATTTCACATGCGAGTCGCCATCCCGGGCGAGTCGCCACCACCAAAACACCAAAACGCGTCAACTTAACTATAGTCAACAATGCCACAACCAACACAAGCCCAATCCTCTAATCAAGAGGGCAGGATACTATTAGCTATTCAAGCAATAAACAAGGCAATTGTCAAACTGTTCAAGCAGCTGCAGTATCGTACGATGTGCCCCGTACAACCTTACGTGACCGGATTCGTGGTATAACTTCTCGATGCGGCTCTACTCCTAACTCACGTAAGTTGACTCCGTATGAAGAGTCAGCTCTTGTTCAATATATTCTCGACCTAGATTCGCGTGGATTTCCACCCCGATGTTACGGCTACAGTAACATGATGTCATGGTTACAGGGCCAGGGCCAGGGCCTAGTAATGTGACGTGTGAGTCACAGTGGGAAGCGGGGTAGGCTGCCATGTGACGGGGCTAATGGATAGTTGCAGAAACTAGTGGATATTGGATAGTTGAGCTATCCACGAACTATCCTGAATATCTAGCTATCCGCCAACTATCCAGATTACCCATGAGGCACGACGCCACTATATAAGTAGATAGTATTTCCTTAGATAGGAGCTTTGTGCTCAACTCAATATAGTATTCTTTACAATACTGTAACGTGTTACTTGGAAAAGCCTTTGTGTCTAATCCCCTGCCTCCTCTGTCAAGTCAACCTTACGCAAGAAACCTCTGTGTCTTCTATCGTTTAGAAGTCAGTGTTACACCCGACCGCAAGCTGTGCAAGAAATGGCCGACCTTCTACTCTCTGAACGAGGCGAGAGCCCTGTTGGGAAGAACTGGACTACTACCTTTATTAAGCGTCGTACGGAAATTAAATCAAAGTTCAGTCGGAAGTACGATTATAAATGAGCAAAATGTGAAGATCCTAAGATAATTCAAGAGTGGTTTTCTCTTGTACAGAACGTGGTTGCAAAATACGGCATCTTAGAGCAGGATTGTAATGGTGGGTGCACCAGATGTGAGAATCTAGCCACCCAAGGAAGGGATGAATTTACTAAGACAACACACTGTCTTAGAAAACAGAGCCAAAGGGTCGTAGCTTAGACTATTCCACAACGCAGCAATCAGGTGTGTGATGTAGTGAAGTGGTTCAGACAAGTTGCAACAGATGTTGAGTCTGGGAACTCAGGGGTAAGTCAGAGGTTAACACCTCACTGACTTTTCAGAAACAAGGAGTAACAAGATCAATGCTTGGAAGCTTGGAAAAGACGTGGAAGTATGTGATAGTCGATTTACTGTATTGTCTGCTTGTCCTTTCTTAAGGAAAGGGCAATCCTATTTATGCTAAAGGAATGTAGTTCTCTCATTTTCCAAGACTTTCCATGACTTACCAGGCTTGGTAACTGTAGTCGACATAAGAGAATCCCATAGAACCATCTCTTAGGTTCGTAGCCTATAGGAAGTAAAAGGAGGTCCAAGGTCAGAGTACCCCTATAGACAAATTATGTCATAGACAAATTATGTCATAGACAAATTATGTCATAACTTAACCAATCTTGTGGGTAACTAAAGAGCGATGACATGTAATGAATCATAGAGGTTCGTAGGAGCTTTTAGAGCTATCGTTCATGCTCCTAGGCCTCTAGTTGGTAGAGATATGTCATGTGGTAGTATGTACTTAGCAATACATTCATCGCATACTTGACCAGCTCGTCAGGGGGAGGCTCATTGGCTGGAGATTGGCTGGAGGAGAGGTCAGGCTCCGAATCATCCTGCACGGTTCAGATAGAGAGGGGTCCCAACAATGAGCTGGTCAAGGATGTAACGAGCAACGAATGTCCTGCTGACCTGGGAAGGTTTAATAAGTGGGAGAGGGGCCGCAATGACGACCTGGTCAAGGATGCAACGAACATCCTGCTGAGAAAAAGAGGGTCATTGGCAGTAGGAGAGGTCAGGTTTCAGCTCGAACTGTCTAGTTCAGCTGGAGAAGGGCTGTAATGACGAGCTGAAGGGGGTGGGTGGAGGGGTGTCATTGGCAGCAGCTGCGGGAGAAGCTAGGCTCCGACTCATACTACACATTTCAGCTGGTTAAGGATGCAACGAATTTCCTGCTAATGTAGGAGGGGTCATTGGCTGTGGGAGAGGTCAGGCTCCAACTCATGCTGCACTTTCTAGGAAGAAGGAGACCACCTGATTGAGGAATGCCTTTCGGAGCCGCTTCACCAGAAATTTGATTAGGAATCCGATCGAAGTGGAACTGGTTGATCACTAGAAACATTCACTGTGTCTACAACATCTTCTTTATCGTTGCCAATATCAGGCTTATATTCATAGTCATGCTCACCGTTGAAAGAGAAATCTGCACCAGATGCTGCGAGTTCAAGAGCTGTTTGGGTCAAGGTGCTAGGGATATAGGTCTATCTTGGAATTTGTGTGGTGCAGGGGCTCAGCACAAGGTTCAATGTCGCCAGTGGTGGATGTTATAAGGAACGTGAGGGCATGTGAGGTGCCACGCCGAAGGGAACCCTACAGTGGAGCACCCAGCACGGGTAGTAGGGCTTCTGGGTTTCCTGAATAAAGGCGGCTGGAGCCTCAATCGAGGACTCCAGTCAATAGTCGCTGTATCTACGTAGACCTATTGTTACGCTATATAACCCCTTTCCTGCCTACTGATCTGGTTCCCTGAACTCCCGTGTGACCCTGGGACCTACGCCTTACAATTCTATTGACTCAACCCATATTCAGCCTACCAGATCAGGATGGCAAGCCAGGAAAAGAGGACTACCCGGGCAACCTCCGGAGGAGCAACACCCTTAACAGAACCAGCTCCGGAGCCTGTAGCTCACGAAGCCGACAACCACCCGAGAGAGGATATGGCCTCGAAGCTGGCTAGCCTCCGGAGACGAATAGACGAGGAGAAGGCCTACTTCAACACTATGGAAGAAGCCCTCCAAATATTCCGACAGTCGCACGGTGAAGACTACAGCGCCTACCCCCAGCCAACCGGCAACGTATTGCAGCCCTCAAGTACAACGGCGCCTACCAGCGCAAGGGACAGAGTATCCGCAAATTCGTTGCGTACCTGGAGGAGTTGGAACGGGAAATGGAGCCCTACACCGGTCTCAAAGATTGGACGAGAGACGACTTACAACCTAGAGTTCAGGCTGCTAGATCTTCCAGATTCGTTCAGACCATCAATCGGTCTCTACACACCAAATTTCACGTCTAGCGAGAAATTAGCTGGAAAATCAGCTCACCCACGGGTTTGCGCATCTCATGCAAAGAGGTCAAGTCCCGCTCTACAGAAGCAGAGAAAGCGTGGACGTCTCCAATATACAGCGCAAGAAGATAATTTGCTGATGCGCCTCAAGAAGAAGGGCTTGCCGTGGAAAGAGATACATCGGGCTTTCATCCGTGCTTTTTCAGACAGGAGCATCGGATCGCTTCAAGTACGTTATTGCAACGATTTGAAGGACAGAGACTCTGAATCTGATGACGAATAAGAGTATTTATTATTTTTACGGGCTTGTACTTTGCCATGGATGGAGTTAACAGTAACGTTCCCATCGACGCTCTTGAGGAATTCTCCCGGAAGTGAGTATGGAAGCACATTAGGTACAAATTGGTTTCAGGTTAAAACTGGACGTCATTCAGAAACAATTGCTATTATGATATCATTGTGTCGCAAAACTTCCCCCATACCCTGTCCCTGAAACTTCTTGAACGCGTTGGGGCATGTGATATAAGACGTTGCTTGTGAATCAGCCCAATAATGCATCTTCATGTCCTCAATGGGATAGCGGCATTACTGATGTAACTCTACTGCCCGACCTCTTTTCTTAGGCTTTTTGAAGGCTCTCTCGATCCCTTGAGACAGGGACGTGTCTGGAGTGATATCTCGTGATGGAGTACGGCTTGGCTGGCTTTCAGCTTCCTCTTGTAGAGATGCAGCACCATAACTGGATTCGCGAGAGAGATGGTGGCTTTGCAACCCCTGTGAAAGTCCAGATCCCCCTAGGTCGGATTGCTGCGAAACCTCAAAATCTACATCGGGCGGTAACTCATCAATAACCGAGCAGATTCTTTTGAGGTGAGTCGGCATCCATATATCGTAGACATTTTTAGTGAACCTGTATGCAGTCCATTTCTCTTTGCCATCTAGCTATGTAAAGTCGAACGTATGGATTGGGTGACGGTAGAAGGTTGTCTTGTCTCCGCTTATTATAGGATAGTGGCCGTAGATTCTCACCGTGCGATGGTCATGGGAGAGTGAGAAGGCGAGAATTTCCCGGTGGAGCTCCTCTTCGCGCTTCACTAGTCTAAAAAGTTCGACTATACCCCTCACTGCCATCGTCATGCTATGAGCATTCTGTCGATCTGCAACGTCGAGAGCGGCACCGCCGCATTTGACCTCGCATGTCAGGAACGGGAAGTACATGAAGTATGTGGCCATGAAGTAAGAGGTGTCTGTAAGCTCGCCAACAAAAGGTTCCAGTCTTTTGATTTGATCTTCTGTGAATGCCTCTCGCCCAAATCCAACAGCATAGTCGGGTTGCGGACGAGTCTGGGTGATAGGTATGGAATTATTCCAGCTTTTGTTGACACTTTCGACTAAACTCTCGAGGTGTTTCGATCCGAGTGTTGCAAGAGTTTCCGCAGAAGGTACGATTAGTCGAGCAATATCTTGAACGACTCTAGCCTCGTTTTTATTTTGTATTTTTTCGCAGGCTTTTTCAAATAGGTCATCACGAAACAATGACTCTTGAGGAACCGTCTGCTCATTCTCAAGTAGAGTTCGACAGAGGCTTTTGCTAGCATTTGTGCTGCCCAGTTCTGATTTGCTCATGAAGCTGCCTTGACTGGCAAGAATAGTTTGATAACGCCCATCTTGATAAGGAGCGCTTTTGACCTCTCGGGCTTTTTGATCGCTCGGCGTAGCAGAGCTGGCCGTGACAGAGCTGGCATTTGATTGCTTCCTGCGAAGAGAGGATGATGATTTCTTCCTGGCAAGTAGACGGTTCATCTCTGGCACCCAATACTTCTCGTACCAGCTGTCTTCCTCGAGATCTTCCCTTGTCTGACCGTCGTGTTGAAAAAGTTCCTTCGGCCACCGTTGTTTTCTCGTCCAGAATTCAATGGGGTTGGTTTCCTTCACGTTAACTCCGCTCGCCGTAGCCTTGCCAGATATATCCTCAATAGCAAGTTGCCGGGGTGACGTTCGCGTTCGCTTTGGGGACGGCTTGATAGATTTATCCCCGATAACCGAGCTTGCATCAGATGTTCGCGGTCGTTTTCGAAGAGAATTGGGTAATGCGCCACTTAGTGGACTTTCGGATTCTTGCGGTCGTCTTCGTTTTCGATTCTCAGCTTTTAGAGGTTCTGAAGGGTTCTGTGGGGACCTTGAGTTAGCTGTGCAGAAGTTGTAGGAGAAAAGGGCATACCTCTTTCACTCTTGGAAATAGAGCTTGATGCGTATTTGTGTCCCCAGTTATGGCTCGTTCCTGGCGGCGTTCTGGATTTTTTAGGCGCGCACTCTTGCGATGTGGTCGTCCTTTCTCGATACCTTGAGGTCTCTTTCCTATCAATGATCAGTTGGAGTACGTTACAACGACGAAAGATGACTTGCCACGGCCTTTTGGCGCCGAGGGTTGCTGCCCAACCTTTTGGACGTTTGGCTTTGCTTCACGAGGGGCCATATCGACTGGAAGGACGAGGGTCAAGACGTGAACTTATATTGCAGCGGGGTTTCAAACGGCCGAAGATGGGAAAAAAGACTCAGGTGCAGGGTAGGAGGCGACGGGTGTTAGTGGAGGGGGTGGAAAACGACGGGAACTAAGCGCGGGCGCTATGCTGAATAAGGATTAGTTTGGAAGCTGAGGTTATCTGCATGGTGAACAAGCGCCCTATGTCCAACCAATCTATAATTATGAGCATCTCTGGAACCTGACCTCAGTTGCACGGCAACTTGCGGCATAGGTTTACCTACGGCGGTCTTGTGGAACCAGGAGGTATGAATAGACAACACCTTTATCGCCATACAATGCCAAGCTTTAGTGTCGCCAACACTTTACGAGAGTCGATGAGGGCAATTATGATGAGAATACTGTAGAGCGGGATGAGGAAATGGGGGTTGTCTACCACGACGCGGACACACCTAATCGCCGCTTATCCACAATGCTGCGTCGGTACCTGAGCAAACCGGTCAGGATTTCGTTCCTAACTCAAGGCGTCTTTGTTGAGGAGCGAGTGGCACGAGTATGAAATACTCGCAGCTCTGCTGGTCATTCCACGCTTGCTGCTGCCAGAGAGAATTGGGAGCTGATGGCCATAGTACATGGTGTACGCACAAACATTGACTCAATTTAAACCATAATTGTGGTTTACACTGACTCGATGGGTCACCTAACGCGTCCAGCAATTTGGATATTGGCTATGCTCTACAAGTAGTATTTTCTCTAGATTGCATCCAAGGTCAACCATTTGAATACTACATTGTTCACCACCCTATCCACCATACAGAGCATGTCGTATGAAAGGCCCGAAGTAGGTACAGTCCGGCTTTGGAGAGCTCTATCTCTATCGCCTCTGTGCCTAACCCCCTTTATGCACAATGAAACAGCAGATTAAGGTCTCACCCAATGGGATATCACTGCTAAGTGCTAGCGCTATATTCTCGAGCAATTTTTTTCTTCTCCTCTATGGCTTCCACGAGCTTTCGGTGTTCATCAGTGCCAAATCTGTCCCTAAATTGCTCGTCCGTGTACACCGGCTGTGGATTATCAGTACGAAGACATCCAAATTATAAAGGTATGGGAACACACGCGTTTAGGTCTGTCGGCTGGATTAAATTGGTACTTGTCGCGAAACTGTTTGAGAGCATATGGGGGGATTTTGGGCACAGAGACTCTGTTATCTATGTCAGCAAGTTACGAGCAGATAGGGTGTATTGAATGATAGTTACAGCTCCTGTCCTCTCCATTTGAACATCCGGATATCATAGGTTGTGGCATCCACAGGACCGTTATCGATTACAAGGAAACACGTTTGATTAAACGAGAAATATGTCCCTTCACACAATAGACGATCTCCTTTGGATTCATCATAGTCTCGATTCAAAACTTCTTGACAGGCTGCGTTTGCCATTAACTTATTCTTGTCCTTAGCCGGACCAGGCATCTCGTGGGATTTGCAAACAACAAAAATACGGATAGCCATGGTTCTATCCTTGAATTGTTGAAGGTATAAAGTGCAAGAGAACTTATTTCATGCGATGACTTATTGTCCTTCAGATATTGGAACTATATGCACGGTCCATCCATGCACGTGACCTTCACCCCCCCTCCAAAATATTGGAGGTAATTGCGGAGTACGGAGAATCACACACAGAATCGTGTGATAATCTCCGGTCACCGTAATTAATCTCTTACGGGCAGCAGAACAGAGGCTTCAACAGTAGAATACCGTATATAGGATAATATAATCAATTGAATTGCTCACTAAACTACGGGTCTACGTACGCTATTTGTAGGCCTGGGAGAAACCCCCAAAACCCCGAAGGTTTGGGTCCCTACACCCCAAACCGAAGTGATACACTGAGCTGAAACCTCAGCTCAGTACTCTGACCGGCTGGGGAACTAGATAGTCCCACGGAGAAAAGTGCCATTTTGGGCGCGAAAGACTACCGTATCCCATGGGATTGTCCGTTTCCCCCAACACAAAAACACTAGTAAACCCCACACTCGTCACTTGTCACTGTGACGTCGGAGTTCCGTATGTACAGTCTCCACATTTGCCGCCCTCATTATGCTCGTAATGTGGCCTTCGCAGTGGGCAAGCGTCTTCGAGCCTTTGAGAACAGTGATTCCAACCACCAAATACAATATGAGAACAAAGGTCGTATGTGTTCCAAACTTCGACACACATTTTTGCGCTATCAATTAATTAGTTACTTTGGAAAACCCAAGATGGTAAGCAAGGAACTAACATAGTTTTTTGAAAAGGTATACAACAGGCGGGTTTGCAAATTGCTGATAAAATGTCTGGTTGCTCGAGTGTAATGTTAGAGATTTAACAGGAAATCAAGCCCCTTTTTATATCTCTTAAAGATTATGCAAAATAAAATGAAATTTCAGTTTATTTCATTTCATTTTACTTTGCTTCTATTCAGGCTCAGATGACCCCATCCAGATACGTACGCATCGTACTTTTAGCCAATCTGTCAAACCAGGTCAACCATTTTCCAACAGCGTGCAACAACCCCCATCCAACACACTTTGAATCACTACCCCTGTGAGTTCCAACCATTTGCCAACCTTCTAACCCTTCTCATATGCCAACCATTTTCCAACAGCGTGCAACAACCCCTATCCAATCACTACTCCTGTGAGTTTCAACCATCGTCCAACTGCAGCATCTCAAATTAGTGGACGTAAGTTCCAACCATTTTCCAACAGCGTGCAACAACCCCTATCCAATCACTACTCCTGTGAGTTTCAACCATCGTCCAACTGCAGCATCTCAAATTAATGGACGTAAGTTCCAACCATTTTCCAACAGCGTGCAACAACCCCCATCCAACACACTTCGAATCACTACCCCTAGGCTGCGCACTGGGTACTCATGAGTCGAGTAGTAGAATTTCTACTCACCCAGCTGAGTTACTCACTCATATCCCGAGTATTGTTGAATGAGGATTACTCACTTGCCGGGTACCTAGTATAGGTCTTGGCAACCCAGTTATATCACGTGTTTGATTAGTCATTGAAAAGGGGGTGTGATCGTGACTTCACATTGATATCGATATCGTAAAACGCCATAACTCAATAACTCCATTCCCATGTCGTTGATATCCTATTCCACACTATAACCTTTGCCTTTAGGTACCAGGTTACCAGAAGGTTGCCAGAACTTATCTAACCTTCATTCCTGGGTGAGAGACATTTCCATCGATTAAGCCTACAGCTCCATGATTAAACATCATATCCCGCAAACGCCGAACCAATACCATATCCTTTGCCTGAATTGTCACTCTCTTCGCATGAATAGCAAGGAGATTTGTCACTATAACTGTTAGTATGTCCCTGTCACTATGTTCAAGTATCATACTCTCAAATTCTCGAATGAGGAAGCATTCGGCAGCTTCCTGGAGAGCTAGGATAGCAGATTGCTGGAAGCGAAGATTGGACTTGAAGTCTTGTGCGATTTCCCTAACAAGACGCTGGAATGAGAGCTTTGGAATAATCAGGCGAGTATCAAGTTGCTGTCTTCTGATATCGCGGAGAGCCTTGGTGCCTATATGTTTATTAGAGAGTTCTGGTAATCCTCTGGTAATCCTCTTACCAGACTTTGCACGGCGCATGGCCTTCTGAGCATGATTGTTGCAAGCTTGAGATGAGCGAACTGGAGCTTTTCTTGCTGTGCGCACAGCCTTTTCCTTTCCCTTTCCCTTTCCACCAAGCCTAGAGCCAGCCTGTAATCCAAGTGGCATCCTTGGTGCTGTGCCGCCAGTTGATCTCCTAGCAGTTTGCTTAATACGAGCCATTTGCTAACATTAAGATGAGTTAGTGAAGTATACACAAGACAAAGAAGTAGATCAAAAGATATATGTACTTACAGTGAGTTTGTAGCAAGGATGTTGTAGAAAGAGTAAAGAAAGAGGTAGAGGTTGAAAGGTATGTGTTTTATTTGAAGGTACGCGTTGTAGTGTTGTTTAGAACAGTAATTATTTGCAGGTGAATATTCCTTGACGAATATAATTGTTTGCAACTTTAAAAAAACAACAACCTTACAACCAACCACCTTCCTTGGTTACGTTCCGATCTACACATTCTTCTTCTCTTTTGCGCTTTACCTCTTCACTAGGACCTCAAGTAAGTTTATTATCTTGATTCTACAGTCAGAACTTCTGATGATCTTCTGCTAATCACGTGTTTAGCATGGCGAAACGCAAGGCACCTGAAGAACTCTCCACTAATTTGAATACTATCAAAGCTCGCAACCGCGTCTCCAACCTTACTGAAGATGAGAAGGCTGTTCATTTAGCACTCAAGGCTGACCATGGCGATCTGAGCTACTACTTAAAGAAGTTATACAAGTCTGCAAAGTATATCGCTGCCTCTGCTGAAGACAAGACACGTCTACAGAATGAATTGAAGGTTGAGCGTATTCGTGTTCGGTAAGTTCCTTCTGGTAATCTCTGGTAGCCTTAATCTAACTATAAACAGGACTGAAAAGGGCACCCATGCATCTTGCATTGCGAATCAGAAAGTCAAGAATACTAGCGCCCCTTCTTCTTCTCCACAAGCCCCACCATCTACTCCGCCACAACTTCTGTCTGAGCTTGCTGCATTTGAGGGTATCACCAGTATCCCAATCGATGACGATCATAACAGCGAATGGGAGGATACTGAGGTTGAAGACGATTTAGAGTTGGAGCTTATGTTACGGCGCGACGATATTTTAAATGACGAGGCTGTTCTACCAGATGAGCTTTCTGATGAAGAGATCGCTAGCATCCAGGCTCTCTTAACTCAAGCACGCATTGATGTTGGTACCTCATAGTCTGGTAATCTTCTGGTAATCTTCTGGTAATACTAACGGTTGATAGGCCCATGAAGAGTCCAATTTCCGCAAGTGGCAACATTTCTGGGATAGCTGTATCCGCTCATATACGAGAAAGGCTGGAAAGCTGAGAAAGAAGCCTGAGCATCTCTTTGAATATATGCCATGGATTGATGTAGAAGAAGGGTACGTCTCTGATCATTCTAGCAATCTTCTAGAGATACTAATTGTTTATTATAGCACTTTTCACAACGTTATCCCACCACATAAATATTTCTGTTTGTACGAGCAGGCAGTTTGGACAAACTTTACAGCTTGGAAGTTTGGAAAGTGGGCCCAATTACCAGGACCTGCGCAGTGGTACCCAAAGTCTTACAATCTTGTCGACAACGGATGGTTACAAGTCTCCACTCATAGTTCTAGCTTCAAAGAGGCGTTCTTACTTGTCTACTCTAAGAAATTTGATAAGGAAAAGTGGGCTAAGGTATCAGCTGCACAGGATATGTTGTTTCTGGAGTTAGAGTAGAGGAGAGAAATGGAGTATTTGATTTTCCGACGCGAATAGGGGCTATAGAGATTTAAGTATTTCATCGTAGCCAGACTTCTGGTAATCTTCTGATAATCAAACAATTTGCTACTTGCCAAATGTCATCGCAATATTCAGAGTTGTTTGACTCTGACAATCCTATTTCTAATATATTCTCAGACTCTCTTCCCTCTTCTCAACGACTACCTTCATTAAATCAAATCCCTGCGGGCCTCGAATATACTGGCAAATTAAACCAATTCATCAAATGGACTAAGGATACACACGATGTATTCATTGAGTGGTGGAAGCTATCACGATGGTATGAACAACACTCAGATCATACTACAAAACTCCTTACGAAGATTGCATGGGATTCAACCAACCGGAGTTCTCAATACTGGAGAATTTATCACCAAGGAGCAGACCGGCTTTCTGGAGAACCATGTGTCATTTGTACCTATTGTTCGAAGGCCCTTACGCATCCTGCAATCAAGTCTGCTGGCCCAAAGTCTATGGCAACACATCTTGCATCAGACATTTGCAAAAAGAAGTCACGGATGGGTAAGGATAGTCTCTATCAAATGCGAATCAATCAGATGCGACCTCAACAGGTAAGGATTACCAGATTATTACCAGAATTATATAGGCTAATATCTATAATAGGATCATATTCTCACACAAGAGGCATTTTACGAACAAGTTCTATACACAGTTATCTCAACTCATAGCTCGTTCCGCTCAGTCGAGGATCCTGAATGGAAAAGGCTTGCTATCTTACAGAATCCTCACTATCCACTACCCTCAGCAACAACTATTCGAAACCTCTTAACAACAAAGCTCACACAAATCGAAGAAGAGATGCTACAAGATGTTGTTCCTGGTTCAAAGATTGCATTATCGCTCGACTGTTGGTCAAGTGTTACTCGACTTTCATTTATGGGTGTTATTGCATCATTTATCGACCGTCATTGGAAAATGCAAGAGGTCTTGATTGGGTTTGAACCTATATATACAGAGCATACTGGTGCTGAGTTATGTGGAATACTTGAAAAAGTTATCACAAGGCAGCATTTAGAAGGACGAATTATATCCATTACGACTGATAATGCGTCAAACAACACTTCAATGATGAGAGATGTGGAAATAATGCTTGATAGTATTGCAGACAACGAGCATTTCATTGGAGGAAAAGTACAACACATACCCCGCCTAGCTCACGTTATTCAACTTGCCCTTAGTGCTCTCCTTGGTCGAATCCGGATTACGCCAACAAATCAAGAGATCTTAATGAACTGGGAAGAAGAGAATCAGATGGAGGGCCTTGCAAAGTTGCAGAAGGACAAGGGTATTGGATTTACACTTGGAAAGGTATATATTCTCTTGTTAGTTCTGGTAAACTTCTGGTAGTCTTTTCTAATATCTCATAGCTCCGGAAGCTCACTATCTTTGTTAATTCAAGTCAAACTCGAAGGAACAGGTTTATGACTTTGCAAAAGGCAAACATGAACCGGGGTCAATCATCTCAGAGGCTTCTTCGACTTATTCAAGATGTATCAACTCGATGGGATTCGACATGCCATATGCTTCTGCGAGCACAGCAACTCAAGTCAACAATCAATCAATATACTCGAGGCGATCATGGTGCTCACATGTTCAGACTTAGCGAGCTAGAATGGAAGCACATCGAATACATCATTGATCTTACAAGGCCATTCAACTTCTTTACAACAAACATTGGATCGTCAGCCGGACCTACTGTCTGCTATACACTTGGAGTATATCAAAAACTCTTATCAACGCTTGAAGGAACTCGGCACCGGCTACGGCATAAAACATATCCATGGGCAGCAAAGATGACTTTAGCAATCGATGCTGCAGAGAAGAAGATTAGGAAGTATTATAACAAGCTATACACAAATACTGGATCTATCTTCGCATTTGCTAGTATCTTAAATCCTAGTGTGAAGCTCTCACACTTTAACAAAAAGGTTTGCAAGCTTGACTTTTCAATACGAAATTGGGAGACAGAGTTTGAACAACAGTTTAGGACTCTTTATAAAGAGCAGTACTCTACAGTGCGAGTTGCGAGTCAATCAGGATTACGAGATGCAGATATGGATCCATTAGCCTTAGTATTGCAGCAAAGTCAGACATTAAATGGGACTCGGGGCCAGCGAGAGGAATATGTGAATGAGGCTGATCTCTATCTTGATGCTCGTAAGTTTCTGGTAATCTTCTGATAATCTTATTCTAACTTGTATAGCACATATCTACACAAAGATATTGCTATTTTGGCAACAAAAGGAAGAGCAATTTCCTGGTCTATCAGCAATGGCTCGTGATATACTTTGTATTCCTGCTGCTGAGTCTGGAGTTGAGCGAGTCTTTAGTGCCGCAAGGGACGTATGTGGCCACCGACGTGGTCAACTTAATCCTGAGACGATTAAGAGTATTATGCTTATATATTACTCTCGACAATACAAGAATCGTCAAGGCCATCGTGACAAGCTTGCAGATATGATGGACGTCGTTGATATGACTGAGGAGCAAGTCGAAGAAGAGTATGAGGCACAACGACAACGGATGTGCAATTCTATCGAGTTACAATATATCAGCGATGAAGAAGAACCACGATCAAATACACATATCCGAGAGACATATTCAAAGGTACAATATCCTCCGTTTAATCCTCAGCGGCCACAGCAACAGCAAGACTTATCACAAGCTGCACATGAAGAACGACAAATGCGCTACCAACAAGGTGAAGAAAGAGATAGGGCTGACCGTCTTAACGAGACCTTATACGACATCCCAGATGACGATATCCCAGATAATGAAGATATAAGAGAAGATGGTAATAATGAGGAGCCTATACTTCCAACTATTCATGACGATGAAGATAAGGATATGCCGTCCTCGCCACCAACGCCTATCCAACGCCCTCGGAAGACTGGAAGAGATCTACTTGATATCTTTCAAGCTACTCGTCAAGACCCTATAAATACTTTAGGTATTAGTAGGTCTGGCCGGCCTCATCAAGCAAGGTGGAAAGATGTTCTTGAGCATATATAATATAGTGTTCTGATAATCTTCTGATAATCGTGGTACTTAGATAGAGGAATATACGTGATTCGTTCTCACAGCTTATTAGAGATGGTAGAGTGATGCTGATAAATGTAATACTTTAAGTTAACTTACAACTGTAACCATAAAACAGTATTAATCGTATGAGGGACTGTTCACGTAATGCATATATCTTACACGTGACAGCCGAGTACTCACTGGGTTTTTACAGAGTAACTGAGTATTGGCCTCACTCACCGAGTCGAGTGAAAGGTTCAGCTACTCACCCAGCTGAGTAACCCACTGAGTGAGTGAGCCGAGTATTGGGCGAGTAGTGCGCAGCCTAACTACCCCTGTGAGTTCCAACCATTTGCCAAACTAACCCTTCTCATATGCCAACCATTTTCCAACAGCGTGCAACAACCCCTATCCAATCACTACTCCTGTTTCAACCATCGTCCAACTACAGCATCTCAAATTAGTGGACGTACGTTCCAACCATTTTCCAACATCGTGTGACAACCCCTATCCAATCACTACCCCTGTGAGTTCCAACCATTGTCCAACTGCAGCATCTCAAATTACTGGATGTGAGTTCTCAACCATTTTTAACCGTTTTCCAACAGCTCCATCCAACAAACCTCCAATCACAAACCCCTGTGACTTTCAACCATCTCAATTGCACGTGAGTTTCCAGCCATCTTCCAACTATATAGCTCCAAAGCCCCAACGTCTTTCCAACATCCTCTAAATCCGCTACCTCCGTACAGTTCCCCTTATACGAACGATTTACGATTTATTATGGACCCATCTGGTACTCAGAGAAAGTCACGTCACACGCCATTAACAGCCGAGGCTGCTGTTACAAAGCTACTTGAAACCTCAAAACTCATTTGTTCCCGGGCTTGGGTGAAGCAACATGAGGGAACGCGGATTCAAGAAGCATTCAAGCTCGTGGCGAGTTCCTCATCAAAGACAACCTCGAAGACCGATCTGAGGCGAGATTCTTATCAGAGGTTCTTGAAAATGGCTGAAGTAGTCAACGGCGTCCAAGCGATTGTCTTATCTGCAGTTGGGCTTGGGCAATCAGCGGTAGCGAACATGAGAGAAAAAGAGCGGCTCCAACTTCCATCTGAAATCAAAAAGCGTGGAGAAGCGTTGGAGTCTCCGCTTTTCCAAGAGCTTGCAGGGATCTATTCTGCGAAAGGTTTGTCATATCTTATGCTTAGACAAGAACACGACTAATCCACAACAGTGTCTATTGAACATTTTGATGCTGTACCTGAGGCTCAGCCACCAGGACGAAGTCAAAATTCAGAATGGATGAACGGCATAACGTCGAAGGCGACAGGATCTGCCGACCATATTCAAGGGCAGAATGACATATTAGAGGCTCAGTACGTTGGGGACCAGCTTCAACAGGGTATGCACATAGAAGGTACAGGAAATAAGATCATATGACAGCATCTCTAATCTTGCTATAGATTCTCACATCGGCACCATGTACAGATTGACAATCGAAGACACACAATCGATTATGATGTCCGGCTACATAAATGGAGGAATATTGCTGTCAGATCCCTATAACATCTGTACTTCACCATTTATTGTGATTCCTATCTCGAGGGATTTAAGTTGCCAATATGCTACAGAACGGCCAGAGAGAATGTAAATAGCAACTTCCACCATAGTCCTACAGAGTATTTGTACTTAACACTCTACCCTCCTGCAATATAACCAACTCGAAGGGAACCAATAGAATAGTACCACCAGCTCTTATTCCATGGAATTATCACTAATGAGTCAACGTCTCCTGATCCTACACCATCGAGAAATTTATCCCCCGGCGTTTCGTATATGTTAACTGCTCCCCCACCTTTGTAAATATCGACAACAACCGCCGTAGTATTCTCTGGCGGCCATATTCTCACATTGTTTTGTGGCGTAGTCCATATAAAGGAGGCAACGCTGACATCATCAAACTAACTTGTCTCAGTAACACCGCAATTTGACAGAGCATCGGTAGCCTACCTCGGCCTTGTACTGTACTTGTCCGTAACCTCGTCATCCGTGGATGACTTTTCAAGTTTGATTTTATTCACGGCCATGGCCGGGGATTATGCCTTGCGTGTTGCGGCGCCCTTGGCGAAGGTATCTCGAGATATATCGCAGTACGTGAAAGTGGTGCGATGGATGGAACTCGTGCCGACGAGGTTGGCTCTGAAGAACTTCTATACCAGGCCCTGAAAGTGTATCTTCTGAGCAGTTTAAGTCCCTTCCTTCAAGTCGTATTAGTGTATCTGTTGTTTGCGTTTTCGTGATATAATTGTTGATGCCCAACGATGCGAGGACGGATCCTAGTGGGGTGACGAGTGCTTGTGATCGAAATTCAGAAGCGGAGAAATATATGGCCGAGTTAAATTAATTTTATGCCTGAGGCCAGTGCCAATCTTCGCACAGTGTGCACGTAAGCAACTGTACGAGCTTCGGTGAGCAAATATTTAGAATTTTTACAGAGGTGAGGTAGGGTAATTCAGGTAGGACGGTCGTGGTGGATAAGCAATATTCCAGTTGTTCGACGCCCCGCACGTCCCACTCTCTATGAGACAAATGACGTATTGGCGGCACTACTGGCTTCCTCTGGCCAAGATGCTATCCAGGATGTTTATTGCCGATGCCCTGACATCCACAAGAGCTGTCAATATTGAGGTGCAATAAGCTTCAGTGCTAGATCGAATTTGGAGGATGAATCTAGATTTCGCAGCTTAACCCTCCCCGTCGCGCTCTAGTCCTCTACCACAAAGCGAGGCAAGGAAAGGGGTTTCCCCAAATATGCAGGATCTATGATAAGACATGAAACTGGCAATTTTAATATAAAACGCCAATCAATAAGTGGGAAAGACGTATGCATCTGACCTCCAGCCCCATGTCCGAAAATCTTCATCCCAGGGACCAAAAGAGATCAATCTAATATAATCCAGGAAAATCAAGGGAAGTCGTCCTTAGGTCAACGAGGCCCAATATCTCTCCATACCCGATGCTCTGATCTTGGTTCTTACTTTTTATGACTTTTTAATCTCTTTCATATTACTAGAGAGCGTGCTGCGCTTCGAGGTCGCCGACTTCCAAAGTTCACAACTTTATAAATACTTAATTCGGTAAGCGGTAAGTTCTGGCAATTCTCCCGCCAAATCCGGTAATCGAGGATAGAACTACGATATTTGATAAACTATATTTTCCTGCAAGCTAATGTACTATTTGGTAAAGTTTTGAGTTTAGGTTGCGTGTACCTTCTAGACAACTGTGCAAATATAGACTTGGGCCATAGCATACTGTGGATTAATCCGAGTCTAATATAACACCATATGCGCAATGTATCTAACGGCATCTACCACCGTCACCCTTCTCTCTAACGCCACAAAAAAAGACTGAAATATACCACCCATTCTTTGCCGGTACATTTCCCCATCTCCGCCAAGATAGATTGTTTTATCTAGGCCGTCAGCCCATTCGGTTTCCCCATCATCATACGATTTCCCGTCTTCATAAACAGATAACCCATCCCGAGCGTTGCAGAATCCATCTACAATATTATTCTCTATAATGAGCTCTGAATCTCGGACTAACACGATCAGCTTTGTATACATCTGCTGTCCAAGATATATCATAGATCCTGCATATATTTTCCGATTTGGGAAAAGCCCTGTGTAATCGTCTGTGTACGTGCTTTCATCCAGGTGCAGTAGCTGCCGTTTAAACTTCGAGTGTCTTGGACGGTTATAACATCCTCAGTCAGCCGGGGTCCCAAGTAGATTTCATTGCTATCCACATACTCGACGACATGGCGGCCATGAACCAGCGTTACCCTGAGGGTATATACTCCTTGTCCGTGAATTACTAGCCCAGAGAAGCAAAAGTTTCTGTTTGAGCAAAGGCGGAGGCGTTGCCCTTGAAGCTTCTCCGAAGCGTCTATGCCATCGCTGTACAGTGTTGCAATTGCATAGACACTTCGCACGTCAATGGTTGTTTTCAAAAGTCGCGCCACAGGTGGGGGAAACAGTTCTACACGTGGCCGGGTGATTGCTGGAGGTTGTATTGACAAGGCGAGCCATCGAGGGCTCGGCGGGCTCGTGCTGCATAGACGCCTCGTCGTCAACGTAACTGGTAGTTGTACATATTGTTGAGCATCTTTTAGCTGCTGAGGCACAGCATCATCTCTACTCGTGCCCTGGGATGTTAATGTCGGTGTTAACGGGCCCCTTGCGACAGGATGGCTACTGGGGATAGTATTCGGGTTATTGCTAGCGCTGTGTTCAACTTGGTATTTTAAGAAAATCAAGAACTCTTGTCGAAGGTCTGGATGCTTGGCGAGCAGTTTTGATACTGCTACCATTACCGCCGTAACATCGGTTCTAGTTAGTTAGTGTTTGCAACATAATTATGACTATATAAAGTATTGGTAAAGTGACTCACTGCGTCAGCTCATAATCTCGTAGGAGTTCAAGCGTATTGATATCAGGGCCGAGCTCGTGGTTTACTGCCTCGATAAACTTCGCCTCCTCTGTTGGAATGGCGGGTGGTATCCTGTTCCGTTGCTGCTCTATTTGCATCTTTATGATAGCCTTTGGGGTGGGACCTTTTTTCTTGTGAACAGCAAGATATGTGCACCGCAGCTCGGCGACAGCGCTAGTGTGCGTCATGGGTAACCGGTGGTTGCAAACCGCCGGTCTGAAGATTTTCCAACCCAGACCACGGTCTGGGTTGGAAATACTGAAGAAACCGCCCAGACCGACGTGGGCACCCAGCGGTTCCTTGGCAACCCATCACGTGTGATGAATTGTCACACGTGATGGGTTGCCACACATGATGGGTTGCCACAAATACAATCATTACTATAGTTATTACTATACAGTTACAATAGACCAATATAGTAGAAACGTTTCATTGGATTTCTACTATCTGTATCCTGCTACTCATTTGCCCTATTCCTGGTATCTTCCATCTCTCCTATCTTAGTTGGCCTGGAAATGAAAACCCTGTCATGTGTAAGCGCACCTGCTGGACAAGCTTCATGTCCTTCTGTTGAATTGTGACTCTCTTTGCGTGGATAGCAGCCAGCTGGGTCACTATAACAATTACTATAATGATTACTATAAACGTGTAGACTCACTTACTTTCAAACTCCTTGACGAGTGTAGTTTCTGCAGCTTCCTGGAGAGCAGAAATTGCAGAAGACTGAAGCCGAAAGTCCTCGTGAGGGCGCAAGTCGCTGATGATCTCACGGATAAGTCGCGTGAATCGCACGGGGAAGGAGAGGTTCTGTCGATTTTTGGTACTGTTTGATTTGTCGGAGAGCAACGGCTGTTTTTGATCAGAAAGGATTTATAGTAATAGTTATAGTAATCAACTTACTACCAGGCTTATAACGACGGCTTTTCTTCGCGGCCTTCTTCACAATCTTCTTTCCGCTGATCCCTGAGGTCTTTCTTGGAGCCTTTCCAGCAGTCTTTTGGGCCGGCATCTTCTTGCTGAACTTTTGACCAGGCGCAAACGTTGGAATTGGACCTTTCCGAACCTTGTGTTGTGTCGCTGGAGGGGTCTGGAGTTGAAGGCATGCACTCTGGCAAGTTGGAGTGTTTGGCTCAAGTGCTGGTTGTACTTGTGGTTGTCGTGACCGAAGTGAATAGTTGGTCAGTTGCATGAATTTGTGGGATTGTTTGAGTGGGGCTTTTTTTCCATCGGGCTCAGTTTCAGATTCGGAGCTTGTGACTGGATCAGGGGCATCGTAGGCAGCGTCCAGATCCATGACACTAAAAGAGGGTTACTATAAGGATTACTATAAGATTTGGGTGCTTTACTTACCAGTTTGCCAGCCAGTAGCAATTCACATAGTCATGTTGATCTGAAGGTCGGGGGGGTGTTGTGTAGGAAAAATAAAGGTAGGGTGAGGTTGTTGTTGTTGGGGTTGTGAGCTAGCTCGCTTAGTAAAATGTCTTCAGCTTCACTTTTTGTACGGTAGTAGGCGATAAAGGTGAATTCTCCCACAACAATAGTAAGGACAACAATAGTAAGCGACCTTATTGACGTGTTTTACCCCACAACAACAACCTTCTTCTTCAACCTTCTTCTTCAACCTTCTTCTTCAACCTTCTTCTTCAACCTTCTTCTTCAACCTTCTTCTTCAACCTTCTTCTTCAACCTTCTTCTTCAACCTTCTTCTTCAACCTTCTTCTTCAACCTTCTTCTTCAACCTTCTTCTTCAACCTTCTTCTTCAACCTTCTTCTTCAACCTTCTTCTTCAACCTTCTTCTTCAACCTTCTTCTTCAACCTTCTTCTTCAACCTTCTTCTTCAACCTTCTTCTTCAACCTTCTTCTTCAACCTTCTTCTTCAACCCCCAACACCCCCAACACCCCCAACACCACTGACACTTCTAAGATCAAGGAGGTAAGTCTACTCAATCCTTTCTACTTACTTTATAGTAATTGTTATAGTAAGACAGCCACGATGGTTGGAAAATGAAAGAACGACGACGAGAAGTCGAAGAACAAGAATACCCAGCAGGTCACAAAACGCCGCAACAACATGAGTGAAGTTGAACGCACAATCGACAACGCCAAGAGGGCAGATACAGCTGCTGTTTCATATGCCTTGCGAAATCTCCGGGCAACTTCTGAGTTCAAGAACCTCGACAGCCAAGCTCAAGAACGTCGAGTAGAAGCCAAAAAGACCGAGGTAGCTCTCAAGCGGTAAGATCTATTCCTATCCACTGTTATAGTAATAAGTATAGTAACATAGAAACAGTGTACGTGATGGAAAGCATGCAACTGTTGTTCAGCAACATCTTGGGATTGGTGAGGGATGGGGGGCATATTCTCTTTGGGACGACAGAAACATTGCTTGGGAAACCGAGGATGAGGATGATGAGGTAGTGCAAGAGGCTATGTGGAGGGAAGATGAGAAGGCCAATGGCGTTGATGATGTTGGAATTCAGAAGATCCAGAGAGAAATGGTGGCACAATCTGTCGCTACAACCAAGGTATGGATGAGAACCCATTACCCATTACATTTGAACTTTACTAATATAATATAGAAGGTGGATCAGTTGGGATTCTCCCTCTGGCGCCGAAAGTGGAGGGTTGCATACCAATCAACATTACGACTAATGAAGAAGGTCAACACAGACCCAGACTTCCTTGAGAAATTGCCCCCTGCAATTGACCCAACTACAGGGTAAGTAACTATAGTAATAATTATAGTAACTAGCTAACATCTCTAGGATCTACTACAACAAGGTTCCGCCACATCTATACTTCTCAAAGACGGAAATGGCTGTTTGGAGAAACTTCACCTCATGGAATCTTGATGGTGACATTGCATATCTTCCTGGGCCAGCTGAGTGGTACCCTGATGATTACGATACTACTCAGCATGGTTTCCATGTTGATCTTGATGCTGGCAGAGCATATGAAGCTTGGGAGATGTTGGCTGAAGAAACTGAGCCTACCAATTTCAAGTGGGTCTTGCCATCCGATGATACATTGGTACTGTTGCCTCCAACAAAAGAATCAGAGGAGTTTCTCAGCCAGTTCTACGAAATGTAGATTAGTTTCTTCTTCTACAATAGTCTAGGTAGATCAATACACTACTGTTGACGCTACCACTTCTTAGTTTACTATAAATATTACTATAATTGGCTTATAAGGCTATAGACCCATAATACCAAAACACGCTACTACCATATACTCCACAAGTAATCTAAAATATTCTAAAGAGGAGAATTCAAGCGAAATAGAGAAGTACGTATAGAATAGATGTAGACCTTAATAAATATTCAGGTTGACTGTTTTATTTTTCTTATAATAATATAATATTGAATATTTTAAAATATTATGTCTTATAACCAATCTTTAAGTTCGCCAGCACAACCTTATAGCGATGTATTCTCTCTTGATGAGCCTTTATCTAGTAATAGAACACCTGAGATTGAGTCCTCCCAACAACTTAACAACCAATGGGATGGGCTAGAGAAGATCCAAGGTCTAAATGTGCTAAAGTGGACGCCTTCAAAGGCAGACCTATTCAACGACTGGTGGCATTACCAGTCCTGGTCTAAAGAGCAGCCAAATATGTTTTTAAGCACTGATAAGCAAATCAACTGGGGGTCAACAACCCGGACCTCATTATCATGGAGACACTTTGACCAAGGAGCTCGAAAATCAACTGGGGAACCAGTAATTGTTTGCCAGAGGTGTTTGAAAATACTCATCCACCCAAGTATTAAAGGCTCAGGGACAAGCACAATGAGCACTCACCTTCGATCAGCTGGGTGTATAAGGAAGTCATCAAACCATTCTACATTACATCAGAGCCAGCTCCGCCTCTCGCAATCCTCTCCAGTAAGCAATATTACATATTACTATACTTATTACTATAAACATACCTAACTATTATTTAGAGTATGCGGCTACAACCAGAAGACGACCCAAAGGAAGCATTCTACAGTTACGTTCTTGAGACTGTAGTATCTCTTAACATATCATTCCGATCTGTTAAGAATCCTATTTGGAGAGAGATGGCATTATGGCAGAATCAGAAATATCCACTTCCTTCACCAACAACCTTACGGCGGCGCCTTGATGTTATGGTTAGTAATGCACAGCAGATTGCCCTTCATGGTCTTGTACTGGGGCAAGGTGTGCATTATCTCTTGACAATTGGTCTAGCCCTGGAACAAGGCACTCCTTTATGGGTATTATGGCAACATTCATTACTGATAAATGGGAATACCGTGAGGCTTTAATTGGGTTTGAGTATCTTGATGGAGCCCATACAGGGAAAGATCTTGCAACCATTGTCCAGCATGTTATATCCCAATATCACCTCGATGGTAGAGTTCATTGTATTACAACTGATAATGCAAGTAATAATACTTCAATGATGGGGGTTATTAATGACATGGTAAAAGAGCTATCATCAGAGCCAACAAGATACCATGATGGAGTCATTCACCATATACCATGCTTTGCACATATTGTCCAGTTTGCACAAAAGGCTCTCCTTGGGTCAATCCGATTAAACCCAACAAACTCAGAGCTACAGACTGACTGGGATGAAAATTCAGCCAACGAGATTAGAGATCTAAGTAAAGAGAGGGGCCTTCCATGGACCCTTGCCAAGGTATGTTTATAGTAATTTTTATAGTAATTGCCACTAATATAAAACTAGTTTCGGAAGCTAGCTGTCTTTGTGAATTCAAGTTCACAGCGAAGAGAGAGATTTATGAGAATCCAAAGACAGTGTATTAAAGATGGAGCAAAGGTCTTACGACTTATCCAAGATGTGTTAACGCGATGGGACTCAACCCTACATATGATGCTACGAGCAGTCTTACTCCAAGTGAATAAGTTTACAACTGAGTTTACTGCAGCTAATATATTTCATATTAGTCCCCCAGAGTGGAAACACATCACCTACCTTATTGATGTTACTCGCCAGTTTAGCTTCTGGACCTCAAACATGGGTATAGCAAGTGGTGCTCGACTAGGCTTTGTTTTACCAGCATATGACGAGCTATTTGAAGGGCTTGAGGAGTGTACCCGTCGGCTAAAGCCACTACAAGACCCATGGATCAAAAAGCTTCTTATAGCTATTGATAAAGCTATTCAAAAGCTTGACAAGTATTATACAAGATCTTGTACAGGTACTGGAAGCTTCTATGCCTTTGGAGCTATTCTATCTCCCCAGTTAAAGATGGAAGTGTTTAACCCTGACTATTGTTGGTTAAATCCTGAAACAAACTGGCAGAGGCATTTTGAGAAGCAATTCCGGGCACTATATACTCAACATTACGCCAACCAAGAAAGGTCAAAGCAGCACCAGTCACAGTATACAGAACTAGACAAGGACCCAATGGCTTTAATG